CAATCAACGAAAAATTCGGACTGCAGCCATTCAAACATGTTTCGTATAATGACAACATTTGTTCTTGAGTCTTCAATTGCAAATTCAATTTGAGTTGCAGTCTCTTCGTCTGCCATATTATGCTCACTAGCAGGAATATTGCAATGGACGACCTTATGTTTTTTCATTGCCGCCTGTGATGGGAAATATTTACCGCAGAAACATATTCTCTTGGAAATTCTCCCAGCCACCGATGGACAATAGAGATCAAAAGGCATGCAAAACTGTTTTTTGAGATTTTATTGTATTTGACAAATCAAACTTTAACAAGATATTTTTAAAATAATATTCAAGCGTATTAATTATTAATATTGAAAAAATCGTTTCTAAATTTAACCACTCAGTTTGTGAAAGTTTGTTTGGGTTTGCATCCCAACTCTTTTGTCATTAAACTAGAAGTTTTTTGCAGTAAATTTATGCAAAACTGCTGCACTCAAAAAAAGACTACAATGTGGACAACCCCCCCCCCTCCCCCCTTTTGTGGACGTCTTTTATGGATGACCCCTAATAACACTAAATTACAGACATTTTTAACAATATTCTTAACATTACAAAAATTATAATTATTTTATTTTCAAACTACGAACATTGAGAGAATCAGTACAGGTATGCGAGGTCCGAGATATGGCCTCTGATCAAGTTACAGGATACCACATAGGAGGAGAATCGGGGTGTAGTGACTTTGACAGTCATCAGATTTTATGTCAAAATGTGGAGACAGGAATCATAGAATTGGAGCTACCACTACCATGGGAAGTGAGATGTAACAAAAAATCTTTGATGAGGGGGTGGGGTGATTTTACTAAATGTTCTAGGCCAGGGATTCTTAGATTTTTCATAGTGCTGCAACCCCTTTCAACTTATAAACATGTCCGACAAATGCTCTGGTTGAAATTAACTAATACCCTTAATAAAATTTAAAAAATGCAAATAATTCAATATTTTATTTATTGAAGTTTTATTTCTTAAATTAACTTCCTAGATACAAGAAAAATATTACCAATACTGGTAATGCACAAACAAAATACACCAGAGAAAAAATTAACTGCTGGCAGAAATAACTAGCAATGGCAGCAAATTTGATTTATTTTCTGAGTCCTCCGCTTTTCACCTTTGTTTTTAGAATGAGGCAATCCTCCGAAGTCCGGTCCAAAATTATTTCCAATGATTACTCCTTACTTAAAAGTCTTAGGCATCATTCTGTTTTGAAATTCGTGTTTGCATTAGTGGACGATGTTAGATGGAGGTTGTTGGCCGTCGAGATGCACAATCACTAGAGCGCATTATCACTAATCATGTGTTACCAGGGACAACTATCGTCACGGACGCTTGGCAAGGATATTAAAATGTCGGTCAGCTCAACAACAGGATTTATGCTCATGCTGTCATTGTGCACACACGTGAATTTGTAGATCCAGTAGACCAGAACATTCACACAGTAACTATTGAAGGACTTTGGATGCAAGCAAAACATACACTCCGCTATCAGGTCTATTTGCCAGGTACTTGGGGGCCTTTCAGTGGCACAACAGTCACAAGCAGAATGTTTTTGGCTGCCATTTGCAAATCTATGCGCCAATGAAAACATTTAATTTAGTATTTACTGACTGGTTTGTAAAGTGACAGTTATTTGCAAAAGCTTTGACTGGCATTTCTGCTGTTTTCTAACAATACACACTGTGAATTGCAATTTTTTTCATACACAATAATTTCAGACCGGACTTTGGAGGATTCCCAAGAATGACTGTTCTTGGAAAATGTTTCTGACAGGAGCAGTAATTTGATATCCATGAGAGGTGATTTTTGTTAGGATTTGTAAAGGAGATAGTTGTGGACAGATGGATTTTTAGGGGGGGGGGGGTGCAGAGATTTGTGACATTATATTGGAGGGGGAGGGGGTATAACTTTTGTGATGATAGGGGGAGGGGCATGAAAAAATAGGCAAAATTTGATTGACATGATTTATGGATGGCCCCTGCCCCAACAATTAATTTTTGTTTCATCATAATTAACAGACCAATGAAGAAAAACTTTATTTAAATTACATTACATTAGTGATATTGATTAAATCACGTTTTCTCTTATTCTAAGCTTTTAAAAAACTTAATTTTGCACAAATTAAATGCCAGATTCGGATCAGAAAAAATTTCAGAAACCAAAGCAAGTAATTTCCATAACATTAAACTGAAATTATTTAACATCATAATCATAGTCAATATTTACTTTTGATTCTACCTACCTAAAATCATAATTATGTATGGTTTAAATAGATTTACATTCTACTCATATTCACATATTTAACATTATGTCGGTTCAAATTTATATTAAAAATAAATAATAAAAATGAGCAGTTCAGAGCAGCTTTCTTCATACTTCACTGAAGTACTTCATAAAACTTCATTTTCATTGACCATTGAAATGTCATTAATCATGTAGGCTACAATAATGTTCTCCTTTTTTTTAAATTTAAGAATAAAGTAACAAAAACGGAATATTTAATTTATATATTTCATAATTACTTGAACGCACATTTTGTGATTTTTGATAGATTTGCTATAATCTGCTCTTTACTTTGTCTGCTGTGCTTGGTCGCCATTTTGACACAATGATGTTGCTATGATTTTATGCGCATGTCAGTTCCAATGTTCAGTCTGATAGCTTATTTAAATGCTATTATAAACAAAACTGCTTTAAGACATTATTTAAAAATACAAATTTTTTAGAAATATAGCCATTTATGTTTAATTATTCATAATAAATTCCATAACATTACTCCCGAATCAATAATATAGTAACCCCGAGATCGTTTTTAGATCCGCACAACCTATCTCGCATCATGGCGGATGTCGATTCCTTGCATGATTTGTCCGACGCCGATGGTGATCCTAGCGCAATAGAGGCGGATGCTGAGGACGATGAAACAAACGAAGAAAGGTCAGTTCCTGAATACACTTAGGAAGAAATGTATTCAATCTGCTAATTATGGATCATGCATCCTCTAAAGAAATGAGTGGGGGGGGGGGGGCTTGTTCATACTACACTACAGACTACACTATCTCACTATTCTGAATTCTATTGTAGTACAGTGTAGTTTTTTTTTTTTAGTGACTCTGGTAAAGTTATGCTTTCCAGGTTGCGGATTCCCCTATTTTCATGTGTTTTTGCACAACTTTTTTTTATGTCTCCTGTCATAGCAGGGAGCGGCCGTGTAAGAAAGATGGCGCAAATAAGGAGACAAGGGGAGAAGCGAGAGTGTGTAGTTGAGTCAGTTGAGCTACATTCATACTGTCTATAAGATACAAATGAAAAATAATAGAGATTATGAATTATGGTAAATTTACACTATCTTACTCCAACTGTTAACTGTGTTTGTGCACTACTTTTTGACATGGACACCATTATTATGATTATTGTTGCCATGACAGCAGACAAATGATAATCAGATAATCAATAATCATTCAGAAAAGTTGTGCGAAACACATCTGCTAAAATGGGGAGGTAAATGTGACAATAAAGAATGTGGTAAATTTTTGGTTAACCATAGGGATTATGCCAAGAGTTGTCTCACCATAAACGCAGGAACGTCACTTTGGGGAATCCCAATACTGCACTTAGGGTGAATAGACCAATTGTTGGACCTGAATGATATGTGTGATATCGTTCCCGTGGTAATTTAAGAGAGAGCGGCCTGCGTCTATTTCCATGGCCACCATCTTGGTTGCCTCGACCCGCGCACTTTTACGTGTTCACGGGTCAAGGCAACCAAGATGGCAGCCATGGAGAAATAAAATAATTCACGTTTGCTAAAATTAGGAAGAAAACGTTAAAAATGTATGAAAAAATTGTCTAAATCGATCCCTATGCCTAACCTGAACCCTAAATCTACGCCTAACCCTAACCATAACCCTACATCTATACCTATGCCTAACTCTAACCCTAAATCGATCCCTATGCCTAACCCTAACTCGATCCCTATGCCTAACCCTAACCCTAAATCTATCCCTATGCCTAACCCTAACCCCAAACCTGTTTACTCTTACGATTTTGGCGTACAATGTACGATTTTGAGGCCTAAATATTATATATACTGTGTTTTTTTACTATTCAGATAATGTAATGAACGATTTTGTGAGGATAGTGTACGATTTTAAGAGTTGAAAGGTAAACAGGTCTGTAACCCTAAATCGACCCCTATGCCTAACCCTAATCCTAAATCTATCCCTATGCCTAACCGTAATCCTAAATCGATCCCTAAACCTAACCTGAACCATAAAAACTAGCTGTAAATCCACAAGTAAAAACACGTGGAATTTCACACTTCGGCAAGAAAACTATAAAAATTAACAAAAAACATGAAATACACTTTTACACACTTTATTTCAGATTTCAAAGAAAATATAGCCACAAAATGAATAAATCTCCACACCCCACAGGCACCCCAAAGAAATATGATAATGAGCCAACCAATGAAAATTTTAAAATTATAATTAATCAACCAATAAAATTTTAATTCCAAAAATGTAACTCTTTTAACAAAAAATAAGGGGAGTGAATCCAAAACAAAGTCGTTGTGGGCCGCTCAATCTGAAACAGCCGTTCCCGTTCTTCAATGAGCATTACTTGCATCATAAACAAAATCTGACCATCGATACGGTTAATATTATAATATATTATAAAGAATATTAAAATGAAATTTTCCGGGCTTGGGGAGGGGGGTGCTTTGGGAAGGGCATAAAGAGCATTAGCTCGACAGCCCGCTGACGCCATTTCTTTATGTGACATTAAATTTATTAAAATTCAATTTACAAGTTTCAAAAGAAATGAAAAATGAAACTCATCCTTGTTGATACCCAAGAGCCAACTAAGTGCCAACTCCAGTGTGCTAAAAATGCTGTCATGTGACTAGTGAAAATCAAAGAACCCATTTGCTAAAACTAGTGTAACAAAAGGGAGATTGCTACTTAATGGAAATGGGCGTCGGTGCATAGATTAGGAAATATTCAATTATTATCACTATATTCCTATATAAATATATACACCAAACTATTTGATAACTTGTGTTTCAGAATGAATTTAGAAGGCATTTAAATCTGAATAAAAACCTTACAGAGTTCATATTATAAATTATCATAATTTTCCATGTGCAAAGTCTCAGTTTTTCATTCATAAGAGTTTGCCATGTTCAAACACTATTAAACCACTTTCAGGGAGACCTTTAATTAATTAATTAGTCATGTGCGAAAGTTGAAAGTTCAAAATAACTAGTGATTTCTAAAATTTCCCGGGTCATGTTCCTCCCACTTTCAATATGAAAAAAATTCCCATTCTCATAACCCCTCCCCCAACTGTAAAAAAAGCCCCAAAAACTTCCATTAAGTAAACGCAAACATAAAGATCAAAATCTTTTGAATACATCGCTATAGATGGAAGTTGACCTGGGGGAACCTCTGTGACCTATGTTGTTCGTCCGTCGAGGATCGACGATGACCATCGAGTCGTCTGGTGACTGATGACTTGCGCGGGTGACTTTTGTTTAAAGTGAGGAAGAGTTGCGCAGCGTCAACCTCACTCTCTCGTCCGAGCCCACCATATCCAGTGGCAAGACTCTACGTCAAGACGACCAGGGATGGGTACGGTTGCAGGAATGGACATTGTATGCGCCTTACGGGACTCCAACTCCGGGTTTGAATTCAGAGTTTCCTTCTCTTAGATGAGTTGCCGACCAAGGTTAACGAGTCTCATCCACCCGGGGTGATGTTTTTGCTTGACCGGCCTTTGGCTGAAATTGAGGTTTGCTCAGTTTAGACCATTCGGCCACCCAGTCACCCATGCAGTGAATGACCATGGCGTTCTACGTGTCTGGTCATGTTCTCAGCGATTCACACCACTGTGCTGTCTCCGCCTTTTGTCCGTTGACCAAGTAGTGGTTCTTCCGCACAATTTGCCGGATTCAGTCTTTACATGCTATGGGGGACAACCCCTTTTTTCCGAAAGTTCTATGCCCTTCGGCTACCCTCAACCTGGAATCGTTGTCTGGGTTGTAGTCGCTGTGCATGTTACAGCTTCTTGGAACCACAGGTGAGAGCTGAGTACAGAGACTTCCGGCTGTTTCCGAACAAGATGGCTTCTTCCTATTCAGCCCAACAGTAGATCTATATTGTAGTTGACCTATATACCGTGGAACACATCACCGGCCTTACTGTTAATCATTAATTTTTTTTAAAGAAAAGACAATTTTTGAAACTTGCGTTGCATTAAAAAGATATGAAACAACATTTAAAATTAAGAATAGAAAAAAGTTAAAATCATCAAAATTTTAAAAAAGAAAGAAAAAGAAATGTTAAAAATGAGCAAAATTCATACAAATTTAATTTTTACAAATTTTTCACAAATATTCATATTTAAAATCTACAACTCTACCTAACCTGAAGATTATTCAGTATCCATAATGCAATTGTAAATTCACCCCTAAATTTCGTTCCGCCTAACATAAGGGTAAATTAAGCCCTAAATAAATTTATTCTCCCCTAACTTGAGAATTCTGTAAATCTTCAAACCTAAAATCTATGACCTAACGTGAACCCTAAAAGCAAGTGTTAGAGTGCTACAGTTTTACACACAGTAATGAGAAAATCATACATTTTAAGAAAAAGATTTTAAAATTCTCTCAAATATTCAAAATAATTAAAACCCATTTTAGATTTCCATCAAATTTCTTTTTACACACTTATATACAGGTTCCACCAAAAATAAAATCTATAAGATGTCAGAAAACTCAAAATCCATTTTCCAAAATGATCAGAAAGTCAAACCTGTAAATAGCCTTGTTTTGAAATATTATAATTAATCAGGCTATGAAATATTTATTAAATAATCCATCAATCAAAAACATTCCATCAGTCAAAAACATTCTATTGACATATTTATATATATAAAAAAAAGAGTAGTTTACAATCCGCAACTAAGTGGAGCTCACTCTTCCACAGAATCTCAGGGGTCCATAAGCGTAAGTTGACCGGAACTCTAAGTATTCTATGCAGTATGCACCCGGCCTAGTCAGGTCAGTAGAAGACAGAAGTAGGGTACTATTAGTATTACATAATCAATAGTCCTGATGCAAATAGTGTCCCTAATCTGTCTTTTACTACTACTACTACTGTACAAAAAAAACACAGTGCTCCTATTCATATCTTTCTAAGAAATATAAATCGGAGGGCAGATGGGGTAGGGGTAATCGTGAAGAAATATTAAAAACAGTGGACAACAGCAAGAAGGACAACAGAGGAGAAATACAAAAAGTCTTGGCTCAATGTGAGTCGCTGCTGTTTTGTCTTACTTCAAGTTTTCCCTATCATGTGCTTTATATTTTTTTATTGCTCCAACCTGATGGCAGTCCTTTTTCCTCCCCATATTACAAACAATTATTTATTTCTAACGAGCCATATACTACTTCAAGGGATAGTATTATAGTTATACCCATGTGGGTAATTCCTGTAAATTTTGAATTTTTACATGAGATTTAGTTTTTTTTTTAATAAAAATTTTGTGTGGTAAAATTCTGACTACTTAGTCCTAGAAGAGCTTTGAAAGGTGATCTTGAGCCACTTCAAGTGTGAGCTCCAAATGAAAAAAATCTTCATTTTTTATTTTCGACATATTCTTGTTCCTGTTGGTCTATTCATTGGGCTCTATAGCATTGTTTTTAGAAGTTTTACTATAGTTTAGTAATTGTAAATGGAACATAGACTGCAGACAGCTTTATAAAAAAACAAAAAGTCATATAATGTACGAAAACAACCTCTCGTCAATTCAGTTAGGATAAATGGCAGGGAATGGCTTTATGGTGTTTTGATTTTTGTTACAATAGCTTAGAGTTAGTGGTTATTTAAACTATATGAAGCTCTAAAAATTACAAGCAAGTTTTTCTTTACAAGGTAAGTAAGCCCACTAGGAACTCTACTCCCAAGTGCCACTGACTTTGTTTTCTTTATTTTTCTTTGCCATGCTCAGTATTGATCCATCGCAGCGTAAAAAGAGTAAGAAAAAGAAAAGGAAGGCAAAAGATCCTGAACGATCAAGTGGAGATTCTGATAACCAAATCTGTGATGCTCCGGGGCACAAACACTTAGATGTTCCTGACAATGTGTCTCTGTCCCAATCTGGAATGGATGCGGATTCAGAGAGCCAGGGTTCGCAAGACTCAAAGGATGAGGATGAAAATTCTGGTGCAGATGGAACAAATATAATATCGCAGTCTGATACTCAGGTTGGTTTTCATATTCATTGAAATGGCTTTTTAATTTAAAAAAATATTAACTTTCTTGTATTGTTGAGGTTGGTGGTTTTTACTATATTAAAAGAGCATCTAAATAATTTGTTCTTGACTTACATTTTTACTCTTAGACTATGTACAACGTCTTACTATTGTTTTTTTTATTGCTTTTTTACAAAGCCTAATTAAAATGCTTTTCAGAAACTTGCCAATCTCACACAAATTCAAAATGCTTTAGAATTACTATCTATGCCACAAAGTGCTGCCCCGAAAAGCCTAGATGAGGCGAAGAAGAAAAAATATCAGTTTTGGGAAACACAACCAGTTCCTAAATTTGGTAACTCAAAATTACTTGCCTTTTAGTATTATTGGATATCAATGATAATTGTTAATTTAATTCATCTAGTTAATACCATTGCTCAGGCTGTTGTTTTAACAACATTACCTGATTTTATCACAAAGAAGTATTTAAACGTGATAGTTTTTTAAATCTATTATTTTAAGTGACCTCCAGTTTTGTTTACATATCTTAATAGATGAAGATATTAAAGTTAATGAAGAAATAGAAAAGGACAAGGGACCCAGTGAAATAAGACAAGAGTCTCTTACTCTTCCAACGGGATTTGTCTGGGATACATTGGATATCAGCGAGCCTCTTATTGTAAGTTTTGACTGGGTTTTTTTCTCTCATAGAAATATAATTACAGTGAGATTTTAGCTTTATGTCTTTAAAAAATGTATTTGTTTATTTTATATTTGTTTATTGGTAAACTCATATACTAAAATGGCATCTTTTCCCCCCGGAATGGTCGTGACATAGATGGTTCTGAGACAGTAAACACAATGACTTTGTTAAGGTGTACAATAGCCTTTTTGTTCGAGTTGAATTTATTATATGAATTTTTAATATTATAGCGAGCATAATAAACTAATATATTATCATTTAGTACATCTAAATTACTATCAAATTCATCATCAACGTCCATTCGTTTGACAAAATTGCATGTAAAATACTCACGATTTGAAAAAAATAGGACTTAAAAGAAGGAATTTTAAATATAAAAAATTGTGGTTTATCCATATTGGAAGGAAGAAATATGTTAGAAGGCATGCTCAGTGAAGGGGAGAGTATTCATAAATTTCCATAGTGATAAAGACGCCGATCGAAGTCTTGTGGATAGAGAGGGAAAAAATGTGACGACTAATGGGTATATTGTGTTAATATACCTTTCTTAACATTTTCTTAGACGTATAAAGAATTTGTTACATTTTTCATTTCTCACTGATGCATATGTATTTTCAGCTGAAGGAGTTATACACCTTACTTAATGAAAATTATGTTGAGGATGATGACAACATGTTCCGATTCGACTACTCCCCTGAATTTTTGCAATGGTAAATAATTAGTATATAATGATATAAATATTATCTGATCTTATATTTTAACCTTTAAATTAACCCCTGATACATTACCCGCTTTGAATCCCCTATGAAGCTTCATGGCGCAAATGATGTACTCGTTATTTAACCTAATGAAAAGTTTAAAGGGCTAGATGAATGCAGAATTAAAAAAACACTGCTGAAAATATTTTTAAAAATTAATAAGAATAAAACATTTAAGTTTGGTCTACATTCGATTGATGTTCATCTACACCACTGTGCTGTCTATTTTTGGGTAATGCATTTTAAGAAATGTTAAAGAAGTGCATTTAAACTCCTCTTTAATAGAAAATCATTTTTAAAATCTTTTTTAAAACTGTTCATAGCTGCAGTTTATAAATCATACACTAGGTGATCTTTAAAAATTAAATAGGCACCGACTATCCTAAATCATAACCCATAAAAATGCATGTGATTGTGCATTTAGATAAGCATAATATATTTTTGTGGATTGAAGCTGTGTAAATTTATTTGCATAGTTCTTCCATTACTTGAAAATGTGATCCAGTGTTAGTATGCTAAAACTTTAAGTAATGGGGGGGGGGGGGAACAAGTGTATAAGTTAAAATTAAAAAGCAGTCTCGCCAGGTTGGGGGAGAGAGTCAATCCTGTATTTTTTAGAAGAAATGAGAGTAATATTTGCTTTTCAGTAATAGTTCTTCCATTACTTGAAAATGTGATCCAGTGTTAGTATGCTAAAACTTTAAGTAATGGGGGGGGGGGGAACAAGTGTATAAGTTAAAATTAAAAAGCAGTCTCGCCAGGTTTGGGGAGAGAGTCAATCCTGTATTTTTTAGAAGAAATGAGAGTAATATTTGCTTTTCAGTGATTGGAGTATGATCCATTCCAGGAGTAGAAAGCAGGATAAAACCTGTTTTTGTTTGTAGTTAGTGCTATTCAGTTGAGTCAGAGGGAGAAATACCCACAGACAATAATGATTTTTGAAAGTATATTACTTTTTAAAAAAAATTAAAAAATTATATTTAAATTTTGTAATAATTTATAATAGTACTTACACATGAAAGATTACTTGTACTTGCATAGAAGCAGATATATTTTAGCTTTTTTAAATTGATTAGATTTCCGTAAAATAATACAAAGTCACTATCCTTGTTTTTAAGAATCCAAATGTAACACATCTATATGCTATTCTTAGCTATATTATATATACATTTGAAATTCTTTTTTAATCCCTAATTAGTCTTCTCAAATGTTAATACTGTTTAATTTGCTTAATTCTTCCACCATTAGTATACCCTTCATTGGAAGTTCTTTGTTAATCCCTGATTAGTTTCTCAAATGTTAATATACATAAAGTTTTCCTGTAATAATCTTACCCTATTTTCCGGCGTATAAGACGACTTTCTAGACCCAAATTATAGTGCCATAACTTGGGGGTTGTCTTATACACTGGGTACAATGGCCGAAATATAGTTTTAATGCCTGCCGAGTGCTCCATACCTTGTACAAGAGGTAGCCAGATCGGTGCCAGGCCCACCGGGTGGTCGGTAGCGGGTATAGAGGCGAATCCCGGTGAGTGAAGAGGCCCCCGAAGCCGCCACCGCCGCGGCAATGTAGTGAGGGAACACTGTGTGCGGCGCTCGGCCAATCCCTACTGGCGGATGTTCGCTGCTGCTGCATGTAGCGCTTGTTACACCTGCTCGGATTGGACAAAATACCTCTGCCAATCCGAGCATGATAGGAGCGGCGCCGGCTGATGACATCACATCTTCTCTTACTCCAAGCAGGCTTTACATCTAGCAACAAATTAGTAAAATGCATTGCCTGCCGTTATTGGCTCTTAGTGGTGCCCACTGTATGGATGTATTCTGTAGTAGAAAACGGACCCATAGAAAGCAGAAATATTCAAATTCAAATGTTACATATACTGTACTGCTGTTATATACTGTACCAACAAAGGCAATTGATCTACATCAACTGTATATAGTATACCTGGAACAAAGCATCATATATACAGTACTGTAATTTACCTACTAGCAAAGCATAGTACTGTATACTGTGTGTACCTGCGCTACTGTATACGGTATTACATCATATACAACCCGTACTGCACATCCAGCTCCAGATTTCCCCTTCATATAATAAATAATGGTATGATTTATGGTGCTTTGGAGGAGAGGATTTATTGTTGCTGCCTACCAATTGTGGGATCTTTGGGACTTGTAGTTCACCAGTTTCCTTTTTGATTTAAAAAAAGTGATACCGTAATACCTGACAGATTTCAAAAATGGCTGATAGACAGGGCCCCAGCATGGCTCCAGCAAGATGGAGAAGGAAACATGAAGCCAGTCTTAAGCTGTAAACTTTGCGAAGGAAACTAATAACTGCTCTGCTGCAAGACAGTATGGCTTAACGGAAAATATGGTCTGAGACTGGAAAGCAAAGGCAGATGCATTAAAGAGTATGCCAAGGGATAAGTGTGCATTAAGAAGAGGCACCCCCCATTGGCCAGAACTCGAGAAGCATGTAGCAGGCATGGTGCATGAGCATCGCCGCAATGGTTATGGAGTGACCCGAAACAGCATACAGATTTCTGCACTTCAGTGGGCCAAATCACAGCAAAGGATTTAAGGCCACTGTATCCTGGTGTACTAGGTTCTTGGAAAGGCACGATCTGGTACTGAGGCAAAAGACCAAAATTGCACAAAAATTCCAGCAGATCTCGACTGCAAAGTAATTAATTTCCTTCGCTATGTAATAAAACAGCCCAAGAAACGCGGCTATGCATTAAGTCAGATCGAAAATTTGGATGAAACTCCAATGAAAATAAAACCGTAAATTCCAAAGGTGCAAAAACCGTGTTTTTAAAAACAACAGGACATGAGAAGTCCAGTTTTTCAGTGGTACTAGCATGTACACCTGGTGGTGCCAAACTAAGACCCATGATTATCTTCAAAAGAAAAACAATGCCAAAAACAAGTTCCCTGTTGGAGTTTTTTGTACATGTGAATGAAAAAGGCTGTATGGATGAAGAAGGGGTAAAGCTATGGCTTGAAAATGTTTGGAGTAGATGACCAGGTGGACTTTGTAAAGAATGTAGCCTACTGGTGTGGGATATGTTCAGGGCTCATTTAACTCCCAGCACAAAGGAAAGGCTGAAAAGAATGAACACAGACGAAGCGGTTATTCTTGGAGGATTGACATCTTTGGTACAGCCACTGGCCATTTAAGGATCGCATTCGTGAGCAGTGAATGAGTGGATGGTTAGCGGCAAAAAGTCATTCACAAAAGGAGGAAACATGCGTGCTCCACAGTTGGATGTTTTGTGCAACTCTATCATAAAAGCCTGCAATGAAATTGATGCAGAAAAAGTAATAAAGTCTTTCAAGAAGTGTGGCATATCAAATTCTTTGGATGGTATGGAGGACGAGTTGTGGCAAGATGAAAGGGAAACCAACACTGAATCCACACCATCTGATGTGCAACTAGATCCATATGATGACTATCTTACAAATGAAACACAAGATGTCATTGATGAACATGAAGAGGATTTTGAAGGATTTTAAGTACCAGAAAGTCAACAGTTTTCATTAAAATTACCATGTTTAAATCAAATCTGATTGTTTTTTTTTTTTATGTTTCTGATTTTTTTTTAAATGGTGGTATCTCGGAAGGGGGTAGTCTTATATGGCGAGTATATCCCAAAACCAATATTTTTCCTGGAAAATTAGGGGGTTGTCTTATACACCGGAAAATGTGGTACATTACATTGCTGCTTAATTTCCTTAATTTTAAGTAATTAGCAAGACTTTCTGTGATGATTTTCATTTTAACTTTTACTTTTGATTTGACAGGGCTCTTCAACCACCAGGTTGGCTAAGAGAATGGCATTGTGGTGTGAGAGTCATTAAAAGCAAGAAACTTGTTGGATTTATTAGTGCTGTTCCAGCCAACATAAAAATCTATGACAAGTGAGTGTCACAAATATATTACCCGATATACTAAGTTCAATTTTCATTTTTTAATTGAAGGGGTACAGTAAATTTGATACTAGCACTTATTAATACAATAACACAATGAAACATTTTAATTACAGATCCAAAAAGATGGTTGAAATCAACTTTCTTTGTGTTCACAAAAAGCTTAGAGCTAAGCGTGTAGCCCCTGTCCTAATCAAAGAAATAACGCGGCGAGTTCACCTTCAAGGGCTTTTCCAGGCTGTTTACACTGCTGGTGTTGTACTTCCTAAACCTGTTGCATCCTGCAGGTATGCTATGAAGATGGATTTTTTTTTTCAATATTGTATGGAAATAAATTGTTAGGGTCATATATAAGACTAAAGTTTGCAAAATGTCATGTAGCTTTTTAAGTGTTTTCATTAAGCATCAAGATTTTGTTTATATTTTTCTCATACCCGGTATTCCTTAATCACTAAAAGTAAAAAGATAGCTTATTCATTTTAACTTTTCACTTAACAGGTTTTTCTTCATGATATAAATAATAGTATTTTAAATATCTGCATCACATGTTTTTATTACATTAGGTATTGGCACAGATCATTGAATCCTCGCAAGCTAATAGAGGTGAAATTCTCTCATTTAAGTAGAAATATGACTATGCAGAGGACCTTAAAACTTTACAAGCTACCAGATGTAAGTGGATTGAAATGTACCATTCCAGAGTAAAACTTCCTTTAATATAACAATAATGTAAATTTGGAAAGAAATCTACTCTAAGACCATGCTCTGTTTTCTGTTGATTTTTGTTGTTTAGAATAAAAAAATTGAGTGTATTTTTAAAAAGGGATTCAATTATTCATATTTAGAGGCTAAATTTTTTTTTACATTTTTGATACTATAACTTGAAAAAGGAAATAAAAATTGAAAAATCTCCACATTAACTTTCTAATGTTTATGTTTTTGATAATTTTTGTTATCTTGACTTGTTTTCCATCCATTTTTACAGACTCCAAGAACCCCTGGATTCCGTAAATTAACTGTAAGCGATGTTCCAGAGGCATATCAGTTACTCACAAGAGTAAGTTAACAATACTGTAAGCAAATATGCATCTTTTAAATAAAAACAGTATGTTATATTATAGAATCTTATAATAAGTTAATATAATTTTGATAACTTTGAGTTACTATTTTTGAAAATAAGTTAATTAAAATATTTCAAAATAAATGTTTTAATTCAAGTTTTTTGGTTTACTTTCAGTTCATGCGACGATATCAACTTGCCCCATTGTTTAATGAGGAAGAGTTTCGTCACTGGTTTATTCCTAGGGATGGCATAATAAATAGTTATGTTGTTGAAGTAGGTGGCGCTATTTTCTTTTTATACAAATTTTTTATTTCGTTGTAAATATTTAAGAAAAAGGCAAATTTCTAACATTTGTTCAATTTTTACTCCCAGTTCAACATTTTGAATTGCTGATTTAGTTGCATTTAATTTTTAAAATTTATTTCATTTTATTTAATAAAAATGTGTATTCAATAACATTTAAAACTTTTTTTTTCATCTAGACAAATGGAAAATTGACAGATTTTGTGAGCTTCTACTCTCTTCCATCTACAATCATGCATCATCCAGTTCACAAGTCCCTCCGAGCTGCCTACTCTTTCTACAATGCAAGCACCAAAACACCATGGATTGATCTCATACAGGATACCTTAATTGAGGCAAAAAATGTATGTTAAAAATAAATATTTTTAGGGTCATCTTACAAAGTTGAAATCTCTGTGCCAAACTGTTCTGAAATTTCAAATATATCTAAGTCAACTTTTAAAAATATGTATTTAATGTTATGGCATGTTCTGAATCATTTGCATGAAGTTATTGATTTATCAGTTTGATTCCTAGAGTCCATTTATTAAATACTTTCATTTTATAGCCTATATTATGTGCTGTATAAAATGCATGCAATTAATATGGAATATATTTGGTAGTAATGAATAGATAAGCATAAATGTTAAATAAAATAGCAACATAATTTGTTCTAAGAATAAAACCCAGATATTGTTCACTTTAAATGCCAACACAGTTAAACAAAATTTAATAGTTACAAAAAATATACAATAATTTGAAACCTATTAAGTTTAAGTAGTAAGTATAATGTATTCACCATTAACTATCCACATTAATTTTTTTTTTTTAAATCAATTTTTTTATGTCTAACTTGTAAGTATCATTCTGTACATAACAAATTTTTCAGACATAATACTTAAAAATAATAATTAGTGATAAACATTTTATTCTGCAGATGGGCTTTGATGTCTTCAATGCTTTGGACCTGATGGACAACAAGGTGTTTTTAGAAAAATTGAAATTTGGAGTAGGGGATGGCTTTTTGCAGTATTATCTTTATAACTGGAAGTGTCCCCATATGGAAACAAAACAGGTTTCTGTCATTTATTTTTTTTAAACCTTGTTAATTGTACAACGTTTTCTCTCAAAGCAAAATAAGTCTAATGAATTTAAATCACTTTAATTATGCTGTGAAATTTTTTTGTGGATTAAAATTAAACTTATAACATTTTTGTGTCATTTTTCAGGTTGGCTTGGTTTTACAATGATGAATAAATGTACCTGATCAATTCATGTGTCCTTTGATGTGTGGAAGTGAAGACCTTGACACCTGTGATATGAGCTCATAAATGACGTCTACTTGAGTGCTCCAATTCAATTGAAGATACAGCCAACGTGGTGCTTTGTATGAATGCAATATTTTGATGAAGTTTTCAATAGTTTGCTAGTTTTGATCTGGAAGACAGTTGCTGATTCAAATTTATGATTCCAATTTTATTCTGTCTTTGATAACAGGAAATTAGTTTACAGGAAATTAGTTGTAATTGTTTCTTCGAAAGGGACTTTCACAAAGAAACTTTTCAAAACGATTAATTATTATTGCATTACAATCCATTTTATTTATTATTAATAGGTGATAAAAAAAATTTGTATGTAGACATTGAAACTCTTAAAATCTTAACAAACAAGATGCATTTAAGTCAGGGCTGTACAAAATTGATTTTTCCATACAAAGTGTCTTATATAATCTATATTTTCTGAATATTTTTTCTAGATTTTTCAGGTGTTTATTAATTATGTTATATACCAAGTCTTCTAATTAATTTGATGTAGTGCAAATCCCATTAATTTAAGTGTGATAGTTTATTAAATCAGAGAACCATTTTTGCATTGATTCTTTAATCTATTGTGTTGAGTTTTAAAAGGGTGGTATGCTTTATCTTGTAGGTTATTGTACATTTTGTCCTACAATACTACTAAATGTGAGATTTAATCACACATGGCTTTTTAAAATCTGGGTTGATACTTTAACATCATTTTAGTGTGTATCCATTAAAAAAAAAAACAACCTTAATGAAGTCCGTCATGAAAAACATGTTTGCATTGTCACAGTGTCATTTCTGTTAAATCATACATAATGTCAAATGATGTAATTGGGTCAATATTGAACTGCCAACTATTTTATAAACTATCATTTGTCTGTTGATAACTATGTTAATAATTTGATCTGTGGAAACCTTCACTAAAAATGTTACCATATATTTGTAAAAGTAAATTTTACGTCAGAAACTAGTATAATCCTAATTGAGCTTGTCTGGCTTAAGGAATGTTGTAAAAAGGGTTCATTATTTTTTTAATTAAATGGTTTCAAATTGTATTTCACCCTTTTATGATATGATGCTGCAAGGTTTAAATGGTCTATATATATTTCATTGAATTGTACGATTTTCCCAAAAAGTTATGCTAAAAATTCCAGTGCACATTTCAATATTTTTTTTCAGATAATGAAAAATAGAATTAAATCTTACAACAATGCTTATTTTTGAGACCTAAATTTGCTAGATACATAATGTTAGCTTTTTTTATTCAGGTTACTATATATTTGATATTTATATATGAGAAATGTCTTTATTTCCTGCCATATTAAAAATGTTGATTTTCAAAATTGTAAGTTCAGTGTTCTTTGGCCACTTTGAAACAAATAAGATCAGCATTTATGTCTACATTTGATCTAAATTTACTTGTAAGTAATGTTCCAAATAAGTAAATCATTCAATTTTAAAGTTGGAAAAATAATGTGACTGCCCAAAAATCAGAATAACTTAACAAAAAAAATTGATACACATTCATTTACATTTGTCTTTCTGTTAATTGTAACTGTAATTCTTGAAGAACACTGAATTCAAAAGTACATTTTTTAGCACAAGGAATTATTAATATTCAGGAATATCACTGTTATTACATTAAAAAAATTCATATTAGTATTAGAATCTGCTAAGACTCAAAATATTAAATATTTGTGTAAGTTTGAGTTCAAATGAGTGTGTATTGATTGCAAAGTACAGGTTTTAGTATTACAAGAATATCTTTCAGGCTTCAGTCTTGCTATTGGTCTTCCTTTAAAGTTTGCTTACATTTTAAAAAAAATATTTTTTTAGGAATATATAATATATGAATTAGTTGACACTAAAAACATCAGCCTTCCAAAAAGTATTAAAGTTTTGGGTATCTAATTTAAAATGAGCATGTCCATGTTTAATTTAGTTTGAATCTAGAGGTTGCAAACTGGTGAGTGACATTGGTTGAACATGAATTTATAATGTACAGCTCATAAATAAGAATTATTGCATTAATTTAAAAAAAACAACCTCTACCCCAATTATCCCCACGTCATCTCTCAATTTGTGAATATTTGAAGACAGTATTTGGTAGCCTGTGAACAAACTTAGCCTGCTTCGTATTCATAGTTTTTAAACCAGAAGGACCACTGGTTACACATTGCAAGCACAAATAAGTTTTTATCTGGATAGATCTCTCACAAAAACTGACTTTTTTTTTTTATTTATACTTTAAATGTCTTGCGTTCACCGAATTTCGGCGAAAGATTTAAAGCCATTTCTTGCTTCATGTAAATCTGTTAATCACTTAAATCACTCTAAGCTGTGACTGAGAAATTGTAATACATATTTATCTTTCAGTTTGTAATGTTTTATGGTACTTTTTAAGGTTTAATAGAAATAAATGATGATTTACCTTGTTAAACAGTTTGTTAAGATAAAATTAGTGGATAAAATGATACCTATGGGTACTAAATTAGTATTGGCTTGTAATGTAAGGATTCTTAAAAAATTCTTTCAGATATTTAATATTTTTAATTTTAAGCAAAGGGAAGAAGTCTCAATTAAACAATATCTTGTTTAAAAGTGTGTTCTGTGTTTATTGTATTCACAAACTGTTTGGCTATGGATTACATCATCATCCAAACTATCTGTCCTGCCCAAATAAATAGGAATTTTAAACGATTTGTTTAATAGTAATAGAGGTTACTGAAGTTACGCATGCATGCTTAGCTAAGCTAGGTGGAGAGATAACAGTTCATATTACATGTTTTCTTTTGCACCAAGTCCATTGTTACATACAGATTGTGTGGCTTTTCCACAAGAAGCACAAGCTAAAATATTTATTTCTGTGATATGCAAAAATATGCTTTACACTAGAATCACTGATATAAATTATGAACAGTCAATGAATTGCAACAAATAGGGCTAGGCCACTTCATTATGCCTACATTGCATTTAGTAACACAATTTTATCGTTTTTACTTAAAGATAGTCCTAAACTTCTCTGTACAATGCAATGGTCAGTAATGATTAAAACGTAAACGACGGTGACGCTATATTTGAAACCTAAGGGCATTACACTATAGATCTTACAGTATATCTTTGAATTAAACACATGCAAAATAATAAGACCAGTAATGTAATTTCTTTTTTTACATTGATTGTCTCCCTTTATTCCCTACACTTAATAAGAATGCTGGAAAAAAATGATATTTTTTCTTATTTTGAGTCATTTAATAATCAATTTACTTATATTTGAGCCCTCACTTAATTTGATGGTACAAATTATGAATATTATGATTTAAAAAAATATTTAAAATCCTGTTTTAGATAAAAGCAAACAATATCAAATAAGTCTTACATTACAATATATATTTATGAAATGAAGTCACCGCTATTTGTTGGTTTCTTTGTTGATAACCTGTAAGTAAAGAAACAAATATCTTGTTTTTCATTTTTATTAGATTGTGCAGCTTAATAATTTCATCCTAACATATTAACTTAATTCTTTTAACATTCATACAATTTTACAGTCATTTAGATACCAAGCTTTTATTCTTTTGATAGATAATAATGCTACCGCACAACCAATGAAACATTTGACATATGAAATGATTTAATTCATGCATCTCAACAAGCTTCCTGTGGTGTCAGTACAATACGTCCTGATTTGCCCCCCCCCCCAAATTTTCTGTGTTAATGATGGTGTCAATTAAATGCTATGATAAGCAAGTTAAACCAAACTTATGAAGACCTAATTGGAGAGTATTATCAAAAACATGTACTATTACTATTAGTAAAATATTAAATTTCTCAACAGTGAATAGTTAACTTTTTTGGTCTAAAAATGAAAACAATTACTCTATAATATCTTTAAATTATTTCTTTTACAATGGGACGTACACACATTTAATAAGATAAATGTTACTTGGACTTTTACGGCCAATGAGCTGATTCAAAAATTATAACATAAAGTTTAAGCTTACCATAGAAATTTTATTTCGAATAGCTTTAATTGTTTCATTCACGGATTGCTGTACTGATGATATTTCCCTGTGAGGAACTTCTGCTGGCCCTTGAGGCTCACGAAGATGAAAAGCATTCTTTCTTATTTCTGCATCTAACTTGTCCACGCATTTTATGGATGATGCTGCAGGGGATTGTATCGCAACACTTTTCATCGCCTGTCTTGGTACAAACCTAGGGGCAGGTTTCACTGATTTGAATTCACGTACAATTATTTTAGATGGATGAGAAGAAATATTTAAAGCTTGCTGGTTTTTATTAAAATTAATTCCAATATTATGGTCACTGGCACCCTGGGAAACAGCAAAATTAGGTTTAGCCAATTTTATTGTATTAGGATATAAGTGCTCAGCAGAAATGTTTACTGGATTAGGGGTAAGATTTGATGTAGCTTGTGTTGGAGATGTCTTTAAAAAATAATGAGGTCTTTTTAAACACCTAGAGACTTGTTTACGCTCATTGTTCGCAAGCTCTTTAGGGGGTCTTGGAAGTTCAAATGTCTCAGGATGTGGAAACTGTTCCAAAGTATGTGACACATCATTTTTCTGAGTCTGTGTTTCTGTAGAAAAAGAAAATTCAGCCGGACAGCTCCTTATTCTGTCTGCAGTGACAGACTGGGTAATTTGACACTGAGATATTCTGTTGTATTGAACATTGTGCATGCCACTTGAACCAGGCTCCAGTGATGAAGATCCATTCTGTAAACTTGAATAGGCAGGTTTTTGATGATCAACTTTTTCTGACAAAAAATAATATTCTGTAATTTACCTTAATAAACAATTTGAATCATGAACATAAATGATAAATGGAATTAATTGATAATATTGTCTTTAAAATAGTTTTATTAAATTCAAAACTGATTTATGGGATAAACAGGAATTTTGAATTTAAATACTAAAAAAATATAAATACCATGTTGCCTTATCTTGGCAGCAATTACTCGACGTCTGTCTTGCAATTTTTCTCTAGTTTCATTAATTGACTCATATTCAGGTGCATAGCAAACATGAAGTGCTCCTCCAAAAAATGAATAGTCATCTAATTTTCTTTTAGCAAATCTGAAATAAATAAATTTAACAGGAAATTAAATAACAATTAAGGTGAGTAATAATTTATATTTTAAACAAAGGAAAAGGAGATGTCAAGAAAATTGCTATCATCTAAACATTTTTTTTAGTTTTTTTTATAACGTTAAAATGGAAATAGGTAAAACACCTGATCAAAATTATAATCAGATTTTAGCAAGGATTGCTTGGCAAGTTTAAAGTTGTATTGTGGAGTTATGCGACTGATGGAAATTTTTGTCCATAGTAGTAGTTACGGTATCTCTACATTTATAGCAACAAATATATAGAAAAACTCATGAAACACCCCCCCCCCCGCCCCCACACAAATATATGATATTTTTGTCTTTTTGCACCCTGCATAGTGAAAATAAATTAAAATAGTTATGATTGAATTTCGATCGACAAACTAATAACAGTGAACCAAGCAATGCATTATTATGTGAGAAATTTTGAGCCCTAGGAAATGAAGAATTGGCCTCCTGCCATCTAGAAACTGAGTGTCTTTAGGTTACGAGGTCTTTAAGCTGGTCATTTAACCCATTAGCACATGATATATCTCTCTATCATTTCTTGCTCAGGTGCACGTCAATCTGTGCGGGTGGGGTAAAATCCCTATTACGTCTTTAATTTTTTTGACATAAATTTTGTCCCAAAAGATTATTTTTTTACAGCCCCCATTTCAAATCAATCTCAAACACTTAACAAATTAACCATTCAATTGAGAACTAGCATGTAAATTCTTTATAAGAAATAAATGTGCCTTATAATTTGAATATAAAAGTTTCTCCATTGCAGACAAAAAAAATTAAATTAAAGTTTGAGAAAAATTGAAAGAAATTAATGTAGCCCTGCTTATTTTTTGATAATCATATTATTAATAGAAACTGTGCTTAAATATCGCTATTATATTTATTTATATATACCTGTGATGGGCCATGCGTTTCAAATGACAAAGTGTTGCCACCTGAACCTTTAATTTTCATTACGTGTAGATTTTAAAACATTTTTTGCAACATTCTTCCACAATGTCAAAATGTCAGTTTGTTTGTGCTCTGAACTACAGTTTGAAGAATTGTTAAAGTAAAACAGATTGCAGAATGTCTTTTTCATTGGTATTTGGAAAACCTAGTCTCTCCATTATTCTTGTGGACACAGAATCACTACAATAAATTCGCTTACCCCAGTTTTAAGTCTATAGCAGTAATTAGATTTCTTTTCTGAAATGTGGCCATTGCAGTGAATTGTTGAGCATGTGTGGCTAAAATCAACAGGCTTTGGCTACCAAGGTTTATATACTAAATTAATGTATATAAATTAAGTTTACACTAAACAAACTACCTTGAAGATTGTATTTTTTTAAACTTAACCAGATAAACTTCTGTGTATTTGTCTTGGCTTGGGTAATCATCTAATGCATTGAACTGATCAATCTGACCAAAAGATCCACACAACTTGTTAAGTTCTTGCATGGCTCCAACACTGGGAACTCCTTGTATAAGCAGGTAGCAAGATTCATTATTTACTGTGTAAACCTGAAATTTAAGATTATATATGTCTGTGATTAAATAAAATCAACAAACTACACTAAAATATGACAATTTTTGACTAGCGCTAGGGGGACCGCAATGGGCCCTAAGAATAATTTTCGATGGACAGAGCTTGATGTTTCCTTACTCACAGTCATGACATGCGTCCTTGGCATAAGCATAAATTATGGCTGTAGGTCAATTCTGTAAATGTAACCGTGCCGAGTGGTGGGTGGTGTGGTTATCACTACAGTTTTAAATTTAGTTTACAAATCTTAAGAAATGAGGTCTTGACAACTGTAGCTTTTTTTGTTTTTAGTGTGTTAAAAAAGAAATAGGAGGAGAAAAAAATGAAAGAAAAAGTAGAAGAAAAAGTAGAAGAAAAAGGACAATATCTGAAAAGATACATGTATAGTACAAGTTATTTTAGGTGACAAACATTTAAAATAATATACGTTACCTTCCATTACATTGTTGAAAATTTAATCTGTTTAAGCTTAGCATGTAGGATGAACAATACATTACAAAGGAAAGAAAACCAGTATACAAAGAAAACGATACCAAAGCTAGCGATACTAACAGTATTCAATTTACAGGGCGTCTATGTAAGAGTTAACTACATGACAGTATATTTACTAGAATGATATGACTGTTAGGATTATACAAGCGCACACATCAGGTCTATATACCAGATATCGCAGATTAAATATCTAAAAACTACATTTGCTATATACAAACAAGTCAGCCCTCTCAATTAAAAATCAAGCGGGTACCGTCACATCTCCCTGATGTAGGACATGTACTGACATAAGAGGGTATTGTTTTCTTCTTCTTCTTCTTCTATATCTTAAGGGCCCACGATCAATTTATTGATCATTTTGGCTCCTATGCATGTAGATGGGATTTGCAATGTTTCTGTTACTGGTGTTGATGAGGAAATTATGCACTAGGGGTTTGAAGGCTTGAGGCAATAGACACAAATGTGTCTAGTGTTGTCGCCTCAACTGTTCCTTTTGAAAGATGGTTCCAGTCCCTGATTGTCTTGGGCAGGAATGAGCAGCTCCTATACTGGCTTCTTGCTGGTATGAGCCTGAATTGCCTGTCATGGCCTCGTCGCTGTCTATGGGGGAGAGGGACGAGTTTCTGTTTAATGAGCAGCTCCTATACTGGCTTCTTGCTGGTATGAGCCTGAATTGCCTGTCATGGCCTCGTCGCTGTCTATGGGGGAGAGGGACGAGTTTCTGTTTAATACTGGAACAGTGGACCAGCCCATTATTTATCTTGTACATCATGGAGAGCCTGGATTGTCGTCGTTGTTTCTCCAATGGTGACCAGCCTAGTGTTTCTAGCATGCTGCCAACACTAGAGGTATTCCTGTAGCGGTTTAGGACAAAGCGTGCTGCTCGTCGCTGGACCGCCTCCAACCTGTCAATGCTCTTCTGGGTACACTAATCCCATCTAACCGGAAGTTGGTTTTCTTTTTGTCTCTTACAAGCAATATCATCAAAGTTTCTTTCCAAGGCTTTTTGCATTCTGTCTTGTCTATATTGGATAAGCTTTCTTGACTTAGACCCATGTTTGACTGCATACTTGACTCCTGACTCCTGTTGATATTCAGTTTGATCCCTACGCCATTTAATAGAGTCATTTTGTGCACCTATAACTACAATGAAAACTATAGAAGCATTGGAGCCCTTCTTCACATTGCTTTGACAAGTCCTTAGCTGCACGCTGCATACATCTTAAGTACTGGAACTGATGGTGTAGTGTTCAGCAATTTATTTGTGTGCTCAGGAAGATCTCCAGATAAATTGAACGTCTTCGAAGTTTGCAGTTGGCTCTCCAGTTTTAGTCTAAATGGTGTTGCAAAGGCCTGATTTGTTTACAAGGCCAGATTCACATGCTTGAGGCAAGAAGATATTGCAGTGAGACTAGTTAGAGAGGAGTTGTCATCAAATAAAACCTGCTCAAATACACCCTTTTAATTTTTTTATTTGTGATTGCAAGCTTACTAATACGAATTACTACCTTAATGAGGTCTAGGGGTTTTTAATACTTATCAATATATTTAAAATAAAGTTAAGACCAGTTCAGTTAAGAGTTAAGTTGAATAATACTGTCAAGTCTAAGACTAAGTAAAGTAAGTACATAAGTCTTATTTAACTTAACTTAAGTCTTAAGTCAATTATTCAAATTAATTTATACTTAATTATTAATTAATTTAGTTTAAATTTAAGTTCAGTCAGTTAGGTTAAGAAGTAAAGTCACAACAGTAAAGTACTAGACTGGACTATATTAATATATTTTGTAATAAATTATAAAATAATTTAATACAGTTTATATGGTCAGTATATTTTTTTAAATATTATTTTATATTATCCTTACAATAAATTTAATAATTTATTAGTATTTATTTACTTTTACTGCCTTTGCGTGTTTTCCATCTCTATACGGTGTTCTTGTAGCACAAATATTTTGCTTAATGTGGTGATTTGGAATTTCCGTCATTATAAATAATATGATTTTGCATACAATTCACATTTTACGACGAAATTTCTAACCTACTTTCGACTTTCGCTTATATTGTGTACGATACTTTTTAAAAGTTTAAACTTTAAAAATTTACAATCGTTAATTTCCGAAATTATTTATTATTAAATGGTGAATAATTTTTGATGGGCTGGATCAATCTTAAATATCATCCAAACTATGTTTTTAGTGGGCCTTACTGGGGGAATAGCAAGTGGAAAAAGCACAGTTACAAAGATATTCAGAGAGGATCTTAATTGTGCTTGTATAGATGCAGATATAATTGCAAGAAAAGGTAGTTGGCAGGCTCTCTGTTCGTACTCTCACTATAAATTATAAACACTACTGACTACTGTCGTCAGTCACTCACTACTCAGACTCAGTGAAGTCAGTGCATGCAATGTGAATGTGCTGTCAACTGTTAATCTAACTCTATTACTCTCATGACTCTTTCTATTCCTGAATCACTATAACTCAGTGACTGACTAAGTCAGTCTCAGTGAGTTCTTAGTACTGATAGTTTTAGTAGCTGTGACTGTGTGTCACAGTCACAGTGAGTGTATCATAGTGTATGTTGAACTGTGTCCTAAAAACTAAGTAAAAGTTATGTAATATATAGTAATAGTAATAGTTTGTTAATGTTATATGAATATGGCCAAGGAAGACATGTTGAATGTTGAGCATTTTCATAATTTAGTCATAACATAATTGAGTTGATGAGTTAAGCTTTACAGTAGATATATTTAGGCCTGCCTATAATTTAAAATATTTTATTATATTATATTGATAAGACCTACTTTCTAGTAACTTGGCCTAGTGCCTAGCACCTAATACAAGACTACTATGGTCATGGTAAAAGTGCAGTTAAGGTGCGTATATTATTATTTCTGTTTGTATTTTGTATTCTCGCGTGTAAACTTATGTTAATTCTTTATAAAAGTATTTTAAAAGTATCTTTTTATTGGAATACAACATAAATTTAACAAATTTTACGAGATAAAAAAAATTACATTTTCATGAATCTTTTGTCTTTTACGGAAACATTGTGGTAAATGAAGGATAACTCTTCTGTCTTTAAAGATATGTTATAAAAGTTGCCCAATTGGATGTATGTTGGTTAAAATGAATGCTGTATTTATTTTATAGCTTGCTTTACTATCAAATATAACCGGAGTTGCCCGGATTGCATTCAGAAGAAAACATCTGCTACATCCTTTTAATTCACATTGCATGATTGCTACTAAGCGAAATGTCAACAACAAAACAACACCTCTATAGTAAAAAAAAAAATCAATTAATTTGTCTCCTATAAAACCACTTTAAATAACTTATGTAGACCTTTTGTTATTCCCATTTTCCAATGGCGCCCCTTTGTCCGGAGGGATAATCATGGGATCCTCATGGGATCCCGGTCATGGTGGGATCACGATACCGATGAGATCCCGTTTCCGGTAGGATCCCATTTCTGGTGGAATCCCTAACCCGGTGGTGACCCAATCCCTATGAGATCCTGATCCGGTGGGATCCCATTTCCTGTGAGATCCTGATCCCGGTAGGATCTCAATCCCAGTGAGATCTGGATCCCGGTGGGATCCCGATGGGAAACGGATCCTGGTGGGATACGGATCACAGTGGGATTCCGTTCCCGGTGGGATCAAAATACCTTTTTGAATTTTATTTAAGAATATTATTTTTGGGTGAGAACATTTTTAAAAATAATTATTCAAGTTAGAATTTAGCTAAAGGGCTAAATGTTCATTTCTGAATGCCATCACGAGCGACACCTTGTATAGTGGCTAGTTTTAGGCTTTAGGATAATTAAAATTATGAGTTCATTACCCTTCAGTACCGGTATTTGAATATCCCAAAATGGAACATCTAAGTTCACCCTCCACCCCCTATTGTTTCCAGGATTTCCTTTTTTTTTTTGTGAACATGCCTACAGTTTGAAAATTTCGTTTAGCATACTAACTTATAGGTGATTAAAAAAGAGGGTGAAAAAAGAAATAAAAAACAAATGTGGCTATGTAACTTTGGTTGGGGGATGTTTAAAGATGCTTCAGAAATAAAAAAAAAAGAAAAAAAGGCGCTGTATAATTCAGTATTAGTTAACTATAATTGCCTGTATTTAATTAATAAAGAATACACGCAAGTTAAATTGAGAAAATACGAAATGCGTTTAAAAATAATAAACGGACCTGAACAGCACTTTTACCAGACTACTAATATTATTTGTAGTATAAGTAAATTTTTACATTTTTAGTTTTAACCCTTTCATACTGCTGGTTTTGGGCATAGATTTTTGTTGACTCAACAATAAAAAACTTGTGATTTGGGGGGGGGGGGAGGGAGATTAGACTTGCTGTATTTTTCATTTTATATCCAATTTGATAATTAACTTCTCTATAGATTAACAAATAAAGAAAGATATAGCATTGAAATATGATGTCGACGTGATGTCCTTGGTATTTCAGAAAAGTTCTTTGTCTATTTGTTATGACGACAATGTCACACCCTTGGTAATTGAAAGTGGGTAATCGGGATGTCGCGTCGATGTCATCAGTAACAAAAGAGCCAATGATTTTATCAATTCAATTATTAGGGTCTCTGCCTCCAAGTATCTGTCATGAAGTCATTTTTATGAGCTTATAGTACATCCATAAAGGACATCACCCTATATGGTGGAATGTTTCAAAGTTTTTTTTTTTATTACCAACCCCTCCATGGTCACAAATTCATAACACAAATTTGACTTTGTTTCTTTTATTGACTATTTATTGATAATTTTGAGTGTAGGAACTGAAGGCTCTATAATCACTATTATTGTCAAGTTGTTAATATAAATCATGTTATAGATTTATAGTATAGACTAATTATTTGATAATTACTAATACTGTTAGTCTGTAATCTATACTTAATATATCTTAATGATTACACTATAAGTATTTAATGACACTAATATTCATGAAGTATGCTAACAGTTTTAAAATTACTTTTAAATTAAACAATCCCTAAAAACAAAGTTTTTCTTTAAAATCCTTTATATGCATTTTTTATTATTTCATTTTTTTATATTAATTTGCTAATGTTCCACCAGCTTTTAGACCGCTTATTTATTACACCAACTATTTCAGAGAAACAAAAGAAAATATTATGCACCTAATTCACTTGCCATATTTATTTTAAAAAATAATCTCATTTAGCGCAGTTATTTGGAAATGTATTTTGTGAAATCAGTGGCATCATATTTACTTCATCTTCTCCTTGAAAAACTGATTTTTGTGGGGTGAGGCTGAAAATTTGAAAGAATGTGTTTTCATCTGCAATAAGTCTATGTGCCAAGTTTCAGCTTGATAGGTTGACAGGAAGTGGGTCAAATGGCCATCGGAAGATTATGCCCCACACTCAGACAGAAAGAAAGAAACACACTAACAAAAGCGAAGTTATATAAAGGTTTTAAAAATATATATATATGTTACCCTAACTTGTAATGATTGAAATCAACATGTGGCATGGCCTAGTTTGTTGTTGTTAAAAATATGATTAGTATAAAGCAGTGGTTCTTAACCTTTTGGAGGTACCGAACCCCACCAGTTTCATATGCACATTCAACAAACCCTTCTTAATAGGAAAAATAAATATGATTTTTTCGATCGAACCCAGGTTAAGAACCACTGATATAAAGTATTTCCATTGAATCTGTAATTCTGTCATTTTATTTTATTTAGCTGATCTCTCCCATATTCATAGATTATTTCATGTGTACCGGGTATTTAGAATAGATGGAAATACCACAATGCAATATCAAAAGCCATATCTATGACTACCATCATTGGATGTTATTTATTCAAAGTTGTGCTAATTAATTCTGCTTTTTAATCTTTTCTAGTTGTTGAACCTGGAAAGCCTGCATACAAAAAGATAAGAAGTGAATTTGGAGATGAGATTTTGCTAATGGATGGAAAACTAAATCGAGACAAACTTGGTTCCATCATATTCCATGATGCTGAGAAGCGACAGAAGTTGAATGCAATTGTTCATCCAGCAATTAAAAAGCAAATGTTATGGGAAATATGCCTATATTTTTTAAAAGGTTTTAACTTATTTTACATGTATTTCTTTTAATATTTAAACTTGAAATATGACTACCCAGACTAACTGACCAAGATTAGTGCGCAGAATCAGAATGCTGTGTCATTGATGAACCTAATATGTAAATAATAAAATAAAAGAAGCTTTATCATGAATAAATAAGACTTTATTAGAAAATATTAAAGCCTCACGCAGAATAATACTAGTAATACTTGCACTTGAAGATATTCAATTTGAAATATCAACAATCATAAGGGTCTTGATCATAGGCATATTTTTAGTGGTGCATATAATGAGTAATTTAGATGTTTCCATTAGGGCTTAATTTGGCTGAAAATAACTTTTGACATATATGGTTATTTCATAGCAGCTAAATCACTGACCTAATGTAGCTCCTAAGGTTTGATTGAATTTGAAAGCTTTTTTCATACGATTAGGCACAATAATAGTTACATATTTTTTTCTAACCAAAAAAAAAAAAGTGAAAACAGCTTTCTCCAAAAGTTTTTTTAAACAAATAAATTTTAGTTTTGATTACCCAGAGTGCAGATAACATTTCATATGCCGTCAGATTTTTAAAATTTAATTCCAGCTGTGCGCACAGTGTATTTTTGCCCCAAGTTTGTATAATTATTACATACCCTATTTTTGTTAAAACAAGGTCTAAATAAATTACTTTTAATGTATATAAATATACCAATTTCAAATGACAGAGCACAAGACTTGGGACTTATTTATAGCTTTGAAACATTTTTAGTCAATGCCATAGCATGATTTGAAATGTTTAAAAATTTGATACCGGTATCAAAGATATTGATTCTAATTAAGTTTTTCAGCTCTAAATGTGATATTTGCAGATGGTATAAAATCATCCTTTATATTAGTCAGTAATTTTTACACTTCAATTTAGTACAAAAGGTTGCAATATTTTTTTTTTTGGATGAGTAATCAATAACATGAAAATATTGTTATCTTTGATCAGGTTACCAGTTTGTTATTTTGGATATCCCGCTATTGTTTGAGACAAAACAGATGTTACCATACATATCATTTTCAATTGTGGTGTTTTGGTAAGTCAATATCACATTGAAAGAAACACTAGATTCATGCATTGTAAGTTTTAATATTCTAACCCCCCCCCAAAAAAAAACCAAAAAAAAAAAAAACACCATATAAACTGACTTTGGTTCAAACCCTTGTTCATATTGCCACTGAATATCCAATATATTAAATTAAATGGTTGAAGTCAGTTGAAAATAAAAGAAGATTATAAAATATGTGTACAGATCCTAAGTATTCAACAAGTAATGGCTGTCTTCCATCCCAATTTTCAATCAATAGTCCCCCCACCTAACACTACACCTGCCAAGTGTTTCCAAACAATAACTTGATAAAGAAAACCAAGATCTCAGATGAATAAACTGTTCCATGCTTAAAGAAAGCATTTTATGGATGAGTGATGCAGTGAATGAGGGCTGACCCAGGCCTTCAACAGTAGTAAATATCAGTTTCAAATATAGTAGCTTGTTTTACAAGGCTCACCCTAGACATACCTATTTAGAAATGTGTTTTTTTTTTTGTTTTGTTTTTGTTGTAAGTCGGTTAATTTCAAGTTAAATGTAATTTCCTAAATCCTTGTATTTTTTATATCAGCCACGAAGATCAACAACTGCAACGCCTGATGGAAAGAAATAAACTATCAGAAGAAGATGCTCGTGCCAGGATGAGAGCACAGTTGTCACTTTCAGAGAAATGTAGTTTGTGCACATACACCATAGATAACACAGGCAGTAAAGAGTTAACTAGGCAGAATGTTTTACAGGTTCATTCTAAACTTTGTGCTTCCAAGAAACATCTGTTTATTCGCTTGGGTCTTTTGCTATTGTGTTTTGTAGCCTTCGGAGCATGTAAAGTATTCTTATGATTGATGCATTCTTTAAAATCTATTCTTTCAATACTGGTATAAATAATTGAAAAAAATAAAAGAACAAGAATTTTTGAAAGTTCATTGCATCACTTTGTATTTACAGGTCCTTAAAAATGGCACTTTTTCAAAATGTAAAAAGATCCACTTTTGGTCAATTTTCAGCACATTTGAAAATGGCATAACTTTTTTGTTTATTAAGATATCTACATAAAATAAGTGGCCTATATCTTAGAATAAAAAGTTCTATTATAAGGTGAAATTTCTGCTATGTATAGAAAATTTCAGTTTGGACAACCTACTACAATGTATAATAATACTCTAGGTATGTATGCATGTATTTATGGCTGTAACTCTATGTGTTCAATAGACCAGCAAAATAAAATTCCCAGAAGTTAGCACTAATCATAATTCTTTTTAAGTGCGTTACTTGAATGCATGTATTGTCAAGCAACTTTAGACTTAAGTAGATGGGAGATCATGCATCGCTGCTGCCATTGTTTGGCAGGTTATTTCTAGGGTTTAATGAATGTACATCTGCTTTGCTTAAGTTTAGGGAAAGAGTCCTGTAAGAAGCTAAAATATAAAAGGCTGACATTCTAGTCGACTTGTTCATTAAGGATGTCCACAAAAAATATTTTCCAAACCCTCTCCCCTAATGTTCACATTGGTCTGCATTAGGCTTACAGAGTCCCCTTTACTTTTAAACTTGTGCATACAGCTTTATATGGTGCAAAGTGCCAGGAAGTATAACTATTAATAAATATTGTTAAGAGCAACGAGCCCCTAGATTTAAACTTCTAAATAAGTCTGTTTTTATAAATCATTTGATTAAAGTCAACCAGACTTGTATTTTAGACCAAAAAAAACCCAACAAATTCACACTTTTTGTAGTATCTCCCACATGAAATTTCTATAAACTTCTTGGTTGCTTCAGACTATAATCATTTTCCAAAGAGATCAGGCATAGAGGACGTCACCAATTTATTATTTTTTAAAATATTATAATACAGGCAGTGGGCAAAAGCAGCATATAAATATAATAAAACATGCTAGCTTGCCGATGTCAGCAAGAATCATTACACCCCGTCCGGATTCTTTTGTTTTTAAGTTTAAGTATTTAACATTTCACAAATGCACTTGTCACATAAGTTCTGGTTTTGTTTATAATTTAAGCTAGATGAAGGTCTAACTTTTCTTGCATCTAAGAAATGTTGGATATATAAATTCAAAGTAGTTTTTTTTAACATTACTGATAATTAGCAGTTTGCAAATGAGTTGGAACTGAAAACTGTTTTATCACAAGGCAGCACTTGTCAATCAATTTTGGACAACATTATCTATCATGATTTCATGTCAATATGGGCATGAGAGAGGTGTGCAACAACAGGATGACTGGTTATTGTGTTTGAAAATCTAGTTAAAGAGTTTTTAGGCAAAAAATTTTCCTGGTTAAATCAGAATGTTTTTTAATGTCTGTGTTTGTATTTAAAATGCTGAAAATAAATATTTACAATGTAAGAAAATGAAAGTTCATTTGTTTGGTTCAATAAAATAATCTTAATGAGAAGCTATTTTAATTTACTAATATTGAAGTACTGGTAACAAATGCTGTATGATGTAACACATATTTACAAATAGTACATCATTTAGTTGAAATTCTTGATGCAGAGTTTTAATTGTGCCCTATTTGGATTTATGAAGATCCCACACACAAAAAGAAATTTAAAAAAAATTGTTAATGAGCATATTAAAAAAAAAAAAGGTTCTGTAATTTTCAACTAAATTCCAGACTTGTTTTACACAGTTATGAAATATACTCCCAACATAATTAAAATAAAGTAATTACACAAGGGATTTTAAATCATATTGGTATATTTGTTGAGACTAAGCTGTATAATGGATCTGAGCTCTTTATGATATAAAGAAACCCATGTCAAGCAAACTGTAATCAAATGTTTAGAAAATAACAATGTAAAATTAGTTTCAGGGTGAATTTCATGAGTTTAGTGTATGAGCTAATTCAGGATAAGAGACTTCTAATGGAGGAAGATCAAGGCTTGAAAACTTAAGACCCTCGGATCCCTGCTTCAGTATTTCCTGACTTTCCCCTAGTTTCTCCTCCATTTGCTTTTTTTCGGCTTTAGTGGACCCAAGCTCTTGCAACAAACTGCAAACTGCTTTGCTTAGCTTGTTGTTAATTTGGATCAGTTCACTAACAGAATCGCAACTGTGCGCGTTCAGGTCTGTTTTATTTTTTAGGGCTTGAAGAATTTTATCATAATCACATGAGTTTTCAGGGTCTCCTGAAGAGGTGTATGATTGTCTATCTGCATTGGAACTTAGACAGCCGTCTAATTTTTCTGAGTTTCTTTGGAAAAGACGGTTCATCATGTCTTCATTTTCACGCAACGTCTGATATATTGTGTCTTCATCCCAAGTAACTTGCTTAGTTGTGTCAATGTTATGAAGTCCATCACTTTGTGTTGATCGACTGACTGTGGCTTTTGCTTTGCCATTTCCATTCATAAATTCAACAAGTTCGTTCTTAGCATGCAACTTATCAATTTGGCTTAAATATGCCTTATGTTGAAGTGACATTGATTCTAAGAGAGTAGAAGAAGTAGCAGTACTCATGGCTTGGAGAAGGCATTCTGAAAAATAAAGTAAACAAATAAAACAGCAACACATTTTTAGTCTTTGAAATTTCAGATTAAATTAGAATAATTCAAAATACAAAAAAAATATTGTTCAAATAGTCACAATACCATGTTAAAATAAATGAGAACTTGAAATCTTACATATGCAAAATTATAAACCACATTTTAATTACAGTATAAATTGCAAATTGTGTGTGTGTGGGGGGGGGGGTTTTTTTTATTCCAAAGGGTGAAAATACAAATTTATTTCATTTTAAAAAAAGGTCTATAACAACACCCCCCCCCCCCCCCCACCCAAATGAAATGTTTTGTTCGCTAGATAATTTAAGTAGTGTAGTTTTAAATAAGGTAATGATAACAATGTATTATTGATTTTTTTTGTTTTGAAAGGCCCATTTTTGCAGCCAAATATCTTATTCTATTTTCATATTGAGCAAATCTTAATGAGAGAGGTTACGAAAGAAAATATTATTTTATGACTCCAATGAAATTTAATATCTAGGCCTGTAGGTCTTTTTAATGAAATTTACAGTTGGAACAAAAGTACTTTGATAGCTGGTTTACCATTTTAAGCATTTCTTGTGTATTACTAACAATACAGAGTTCAGCCACTGTAGCATCTATTTGTACCTTTACACCCTGTACCTAATATTTCACCACTAATAATAATTAATAGTGAAGACCATTTTTTAAAAAGTAAAACTTATGTTGATGAAAAAAGATATTATAGCTATATCAACCAGAATCTTTATACTGCAAGTGGTTACCAATCTTTTTTCCTCCTGTAGCCCTTGATTTAACCTCTCATTTAAAGTCTCCCCCCCCCCCCCCCATATTCATAAAAATAAAATAAATGAATAGATTAGCTAAATAATCAAATGAGGCAGATAAAGCTGTTGACATTCACAGGCTTTCATTTTCTATTTTACAAATTATTTCAGCTTCAAATAAAAATTAGACTACAGGTAGTATTATAAAATGCACTAACTTTTAATGGAAGTACAATAATTAGTCATTGACTTTAAAATAATAAGTTTGGCCATAAAAATAAAAGAGGCAAAAAAACAACAAAAAAACTATCAACATCGGACTTTAATACAACAATATTGAGTTCTCATTATTACTTTCATTAAAAAAATGTGTTGTTCATATATAGCTAAGTATCGACATACAGCTTCATACAGTAAATCAATAGGTGTAAAGTTACTTTTTTTTGTGTGCTGTTTTCCACCATTTTCAATATAATTTCCACCATGTACCCCTGGGCGTATGCCTAGCACATGCTGGTAACCACTGCTTTAAATTTAAAGATCTTATCTGACTAGAGAAAGGTAGTCTTTATAGGATAAAATATTTTAAATGGCCACACAAATAAAAAGGATTAAAATACCAGCAGCTTTCCTGTGACAAGCTATAGCATCTTCATATTTTGCTCTTTTAGTTAGTGCATCTGCTTTTCTGCTAAATGCGTGAGCCTGTTAAAAAAAGAAGACACAGTTCTGAAATATTTTTGTTTCAAATACATAAAATATAACATTTAAAAACACATAAATTTAAAGTATGTAGAGAATTTCACTTTTTTAAAACCTCAATGATTCAAATATTATCTGCTTCAGTTGTAACTTAAGAATTTAATATGATCAGTGTTGATAAAGCAGGAACGTTGGTCCATGGACCAGTGCTGGTTCGAGAGCCTTATGTTATCGTTCCACATAACATTTTACTTTTGAGTATTTTGTGACTACTGACGTTTGCCCTGTTTCCGGCCAATATTCTTTCTTTTATTTTTTGTCAGTAAGTCATTTCTTTCATTTATTAAGGATCCTATGTATTTTAATTGACTTACTTGATTTATTTTTAAACTTCCACCTCTACTTGTAGTGATGTGTCTTCTAATTCTAATTCAATAAAAGATATTGATATGTCTTTAATACTTTTCCGTATATGCGAGATAGTTAATGGGTTGATTGTAGAAAATGCCTATTGGTTGTGGATCTTGAGTTTCCCCCAGAAATTATACTGTGATTGTCGGGTGTCAATATGCATGTTTCTTATAACTTACTTGGCAGATATGGTTGCCAGCTTAATTTAGCTCAGTACATCCATGCAAAATGATGGACTTGTGCTTCACAATGACTGACAAGATAGATGGTCATAAATGGAAGCTGAAGGCGTGGAAAAGTTGGATGTCAGAAAACTGTTTTGATATGTTTCACCACTTAGCAGGGAAAGGGCTTGATAAGTGGGGGAGGGGTTATGGGGAGGGTTCTTCCTTCCAAAGAATATTACTTTGTGTCTTATTTTAGTATTTAAAGTGGGGGGGGGGGGGAATTTGGGGAGGGGGGGGGGGAAGAATTTGGGGGGGATTCCCCAGAAAGGGCTTGATAAGTGGGGGAGGGGTTATGGGGAGGGTTCTTCCTTCCAAAGAATATTACTTTGTGTCTTATTTTAGTATTTAAAGTGGGGGGGGGGGAGAATTTGGGGAGGAGGGGGGGGAAGAATTTGGGGAGGATTCCCCCTCTCCTCATCCTACGTTGGCTAAATCCAGTGTTCGGCCCAAAAGTTACATCTCACACTCTTCATTTAGGCCTCGGCTCCTATTTTATCTTATCCTCCCTGACGTCACTGGCCACTCATCGGCTGGAGTCACAACTGTCACCCAGTCAGGTAAACTATTGTTTTAACCCCATCCAGACTTCCCCATAGACCTCCTCAAACTCCAAATGAAAATGGTCCAAAACCTTGCCTGGGCAAAGCCCATTTGACCGGCGTACAATTGTATCCAAGTCATGCTATGGTGTTTCCCAATGCACACTTTACTGAAAAACTTAGCTTCCTTCGTGCCGTGTTCGCATGGCGCTTTAGTGACTTTGAAGCACAGAAATGTAATTCATAGTTAGTATTATTAATTACTATTTAAATTACTAGTATTAATAGCAGGCCTGCACCTAGGAAATTCTGGGCCCCAAGCAGCTGACAGAGTTCTGGTACCTTTCGTGTTTCAAACATGTGGGGCGTATATTATATTTTAATTTTATAACTCAAAAAAGGGCGGGCCCTTATCTAACTCTGGCCCCTGACAAGTGCCATGGTTGCCCCCACCCCCCAGGTGCGGGTCTGTTACGAGGACTAGACTCACTTAACTTATAACTTGTAGCCTCTAACTCAATGACTTATCAAAAATGTCATGATCATCATAATCTTATGACCACTACTTGCTAATTCATAATTCTAGTTCTAGTGAGTTTGTCCTACAAAGAACTAATAAACAAATGGATACTCACAGAGTTTAATGGAGAATCCATTGGAGCTTGTACGAGAGGACGACCATCATCTCGCCCGAGCATCTTATTTATAGTCAGGTTAACTGTTAATAAGTGTAAACTCAACTCTGTTTTAGTGTCTCTTCGTCAAATCGATTGAGATGTTGACGAAATTCAATAACCCGGAAGAAGTTGTGCTGATCTTTATTCTATTTATAAGTAGTGCATTTTATAAACAAATACTAAATAAACGTTAATTAACGGTAATATAATCTATTTTATTGAAATGCAGTATGATTAACAAATTCCAACATACTTGATTTAAAGATTAAACAAAAATAAGTTTTTATCAAAATAGTGGTCTCCAGTTTACAACCCTCTGACATTAAACAAACCCCCCCCCCCAAAAAAAAAAAAAAAACAACAAAAAAAAACAAACAAACAAACAAACAACAAATTATAAAAAGTGTTGGACTGCAATAAAGCTTTAAAATATATTAATAAGACACGAACAAATTGTGTCAATAGAACAATATGAGTTAGCTTTAATAATAATTGTACATTATACAGAATTAAACGTTTCGGCACATGCCTTCATCAGTACAAACAAACACAACACATTTAAATAAGTATAAATTAAATTTACATAATGTCAATATATATATCCTACCTAAAACAGAAAAAAATATATAGGAGAGGGCGCTTAAACCTGACAAAAACAAAGTAAAGAGATGTAGAAAGGAAGTGAACAAACAACAAACAAGTACCGTGGAACTTCGGAAAGCGAACACCCTATTTTACGAACAAAATCGGTTAGACTTAAACTGCAGCGTTCCATAAATGGTGGTCCGGCAGCCTTACGTCACCAGTGCCAGTCCTCTCACAGCATACATTTTTATTGTCAAATAAATATTAAATAGTAATTTATACATCTGACACTGGTTCCTGGTGCAATTTCGAAACATTTTCACCGGTCTGCCAAATTTAAATCAGTTGTCAGTGGGAAACGCTCACGTTGGGTTAGAGAACAAGTTATTTTTAAAGGTCGGTACAGATCAATGAAAATTACCATTATTTCAATGGGAAAAATTATTTTGGTTTGCAAATATTTTGGCTTGAGAATGGTGTCACGAAACGGTTTGAGTTCTTTATACAAGGTTGAACTTGTACTAGGTTCTAAATTTTCTCTTTCGATGCCAAAGCAAAGTAGGCATAATCTACTAATTTGATGTCGAACACATTTCTACGAACACACAACCTATTTAATATATTAGTTTAGAATTTAGAAAACACAGATTGTTGGCGCATCTGGGGGCCCTGCCCCAGTAAATTGCTGTAAATATTGCGAATCGTTTGATAAATTAGGGAGTGAGGAGAGAGTAGGTGGTGAGACAGATAGACTGACAGACGAATGGATAGATTGAGATCAGTCTGGCTTTCCCCAATACTAATGAAGATATGACTTTGACTCTCCCAAACCCCGGGACAGACTCCAATGGACCATTGAATAATTTTACGGAGAATAATTAGAAAGATAACCCTTTCTTAATGTTACTTTTAAAAACAAAAAGCAAAGGAATTGCAATATATTTAAGGCCTGTTTAAGTCATCTTTAAACAAGAAGTTAAAGCTAAAAAAATTTTTAACTGACCAAAATTTTGTTTACATGCTTTTAATAAAAAGTTTTATATGCTATACAACATCTGTATTAACATCTGGCAGAGAATAAAATCTGGCTGCTAGTGTAGTCAAGGTCAATCAAAATGGCTGCGAAAGCCCTGTTTAGAAGTGTGGGTATACCAATATCGACATTTCACCTGAATCTAAGTGTTCCTGTAAAATCAAACTTGGGATTAGTGGTTCGTATTTGCTAATAAGACCTAGCTTTAGACTTAAAATCTAAAAAAAAATGTTTGTAAACCTGAGAATTTCTGAGATTTTGAAAAACAATATTAGAGCAAGGTGCTAAACAAAAAAAAAAGAAAAACCCAGCAACAAGCTGCAATACAAGCAAAATTTGAAACACCCTACTCTACCTCAGCTGCGCCGGTTCGGTTCTTTATATGGGGTGGGGGCATCCATAATTGACGTCACTAGTCTAGGGGGAGGAGTAACAATTTTTGGGACTGAGGGGAGTGGGGTTTAAGCAATGTAAAAAGGGGAAAAATTGCTGCCTGACTGAATAACACTAAATTACCATTCATTGTCATTGGGTTGAGTTCCGAGAAATGTAGAAAACCGGTTAATTGCCGGTTATTGTGATTTCATTGTCAAAATGGCGACCTCCAATTTTTAATTTACCGAGAGTCACGTTGTTTACAACTTTTTAACTATTTATAGCCCAGCATGTAAATTCTATTTCCGCCCACAACTTAGAATAGACATGTTGTGTTATGATTAGACACTTAAAGCCCCCAAAAAATTTTGGGGCTTCACTTTGAAAATTAAAGGTAAATTAACGCAATTTTTACTCATTCAAATTTTTTGTGTGGAAAGGAGCCTTTCTTTGAAATTTAGGGACTTTATAAATAGGCAGTGTCTACACGTCCGCACTACTTGTCCGGCGACCAAGTCACATGACCGCCGTAACAAAGTGGCGAGAGATATCTTGTCGGTCAGCCTTGTCACGTGACTGCGAATAATTCAAAACTATTGTTAATTTTAAAATCTATTTCTCTACCAAGTAATGTACTGAGTATCTTGCATGTAAATAATAGAAAAAAACTTAAGTGAAAGTGGCTTGTAAACATTTTTGTTTAGTTTGTTATTTGAGTTTGTGTACCAGTAATCCATAAAATAAATTAGGGGCCAGTGTGGAGTAGGCAACCAATAAAAGTAAAAGATTTCATTTTAAATTGTTACAAAATATTTAAAAACTTCTCATGAAACTACTGTTGCTGATGAACATGATAATATAAATATATTAAATATTTTACATTAAAATGGGAGAAAGAAAAAAAATGATCCTATGCCCGGAATCGATCCTCAAATCATAATATCGTCAAGCGACCACTCTACCAATAGACCACACAAGAACTGCCAAACTGTACTTCGTTCGGAATTATAAAAACTACTAGCCGTCCGGCGGTCACGTGACATACCGCCGGACGTATATCTTGCGCACTATTTGTCCGGCGCGCCGGACATGTAGACATTTCGTTATAAATAATGGCATTAACTACAACATATCCAAGACATGCTAATTTAGGCCCAACGGTTTGGTCATAAATTAACTCGGAAATTTTAAATTCGTGTGTCCCAACATTACCTATTATCGTTAATATTTGAAGCTATGGTAAATAACCTGATTACTCTGGAAATCCAGCATATTAACCCATAATAACTCATTTGAAAATAAAAACAAATAAATTAATAATACAATTACATAATTTTAATATGATTTGATGTTTTTATTAAGGGATATTAGGTTAAATAAGCCTCATTATTACAATTAATAGTTAATTATTAGTTTTATATACTGGAATATGTTATTATTATATATATAATATGTTTGTATTTTATATATAGAAGAGGCCTAGAATAGTATTACTATTATAAGTTTAGGCCTACACCCCCCACCCCCTTTCAATAATTATTTGTAGGACCCATTATTCATATGTAATGATATATTATGGTGATTCTTAAGGCATAGATTAAGTAAAAATGTAAAAAAATAATAGTCACTTACCTTTAATATTGAAATATCCTATATTTAATCACATATCACAATATTTCACAAGAGAATTATTACATAATCCTTGGTTTTCTCAAAGAAAAAACACACACACTTTCTGCCACAATAATCCAAGAATTACTTAAGATATTACTAAAGAACAATCATAAAAAATCAAACTTACCTCAAGCAAGTAATAGGTACTTTTACTTGGTTTAAAAAAAAAATAAAAAAATTCAAAATAGCACATTATAAGAGAGAAAATGTATAATTAAAAATGAAACTATAATCAACTTTCTATCTTAATAATCATATCTTCAGTAGTTTCTGAGTGATGTAACTGTAACATAGGCTATACTATGAATTTTTAAAGTAATACTTCTTTTGTCCTTTTCTAAAATGGACCTCACCTCCACATTCTGTGACCCAGTTACGTTGTTTGTATCACAAGCTATAATTTCGTTTTAATAACAATTTCATACAACTTTTATTTTCAGAATAAATGCTGTTTTAAAAAGTAATTTTAATAATGTTATGCAATTATAAATAAATTATAACTAAATATGCACTATGTAGGCTATATCAGTAAATATAATATATTAATATATCATATTTTCAGTTTACCAAATATACGGCATCCATTATCCGTTATAATAATAGTTGTATAAGGCAATGCATTCCCGTATTAATAAAATACTTTTTAGGGATTTAGAGACTACTTATTTTGAACTTTCAACTTTGGCTCATGACTTGACTAATTAAAGCTTTCCCTGACCAATTGTTTAATGGTTGTTGCCCACAGCAATCTCTTATGTATAAAACTCTCTATGGTATACCCATAATGCAAATGGCTGTGAATGGTTGCCATGTAAATGTTTTGAACACAGAAAATTATAATTTATAATTTGGACTCTACTGGGTTTTTAAAGCTTTAATGAACATATTCTAGCTTAAATATCTTCTAAAGTCGTTCTGAAAAACCATTTATCAAATATTTTGATGTTTAAGGTGGTAATAAGTGAATATTTACAAAGTTAAGTATCAGCATCTTGTGCCATTAACGCTGTCTACTCTTGAGGAGAATTGTGAAAATGTTTCACAATGAAATTTTGCACTCATAGGTACATTATATTTTGTTGACATACAATTAGTATGAAATACATACTTTAATATTTTGATTGAATTTTTATATTGACACATGCCATATGTTAACATAAGATTTTCCTCAATTAAAGTTGATGTAAAGGATTATAAAACGCAATGGGAATATAGGCCAAGATGTCTTTCAGTGTGAAAGGGAGGAGTCAGAACTTAATTTTCAGTCAAAAGGACATAGGTGAAGTAATTAGATATCCATGAGATATAAATTTATTAGGGTTTGTAAAGGACAGTAGTGGACAGAGACATCTTTTTTAAATTGTGGGGAGGTTTAAATTTAATAATGATAACCAATCAAAAGCCTTTAATTTAAAATGCTGAAATGAGAGGTTACTGTAGTCTCAGATTGTAGTTTACTACACATAATACCAATATTCATTTAATATGAACTAACTTTAAAATAAATAGAGGTTTAAGAGAATAATAGTATGTAGTACTTATAATTCTTTCACTTTGCAAAATCTTAAAAAACAAAAAAAAAAAAAAAAAAAAAAAAAAAAAAAACAAAAAACAAAATAAAAAAACAAATTAAAAAAAAAATTGTTATTGAACATCGATGAATTGAACACCATGTAAAATGACGTGTTAATCATTCTAGGGAGCAGAATAAGAGAAAAAGGACAGGCGGAGACAAAAAAAAAACAACCTTAGACTGCTTTCATATGCTATTTTAGAAAAAATCAATTTAGGATTCCATATCTCTTCTACTGGGTACTAAAATTTAAACAAATGGATTAAATGCATCAAACAAAGATTATGAGTAACTGCCCCATTGTTATTTCAAAAATGACTATCACAATTAAATAAATAAAATTGGAAATTTCCTGGTACCCACACAGAAAAAAAAAAAAAAGAGCTACAGGTATCAAAAAATAATACCAGCCTATTAGCTTAGTTTCCTTTAAAGAAAAGCTTCATCAAATGATTTTAAAAAAACACTTAAAAGGAACCAAAGCATCTTTGACAATGATTCTATATTTGTTTTTAGCACTGTTTTGATAAATCCTATAATAGAATTTTATAGGATAACTCACACAACACCTCTATTCTCACACAAATAATTTCTCAGTATGACAGACACTGAATAATAATTGACTATTTCTAATTTAAATTTAGTCTCAGAGTCTGGCTGTCTGTAACCATACTAATGGACGAAGAAAATATTCTAGTGTAAGTATGATTTATTTCATATACTTCTTCATCATCTATTTAACATGCAATATCTAATACATTTCATTATATTTTGATGATCATTACAGCAGTATTGCTTGAATCTATACACTTATAATATAGCTTCACCTTACAAGTTTTATTGAATTACTTAGCATAATTGGATTCAGCATTGAAAAACATCAATTGAAATTCATTAAGCAAACGTAAAAAAAAAGTCTCAATGATTCATCATTTTGTCGATTCAAAAGAGAACGAAATCATTGTTTGACTTCAATTTGCACGCTTCTGAAGATTATTTTATTCCAATTCATTGTTGTACAATGTTTTTTCTACATGAACGTTAATTGTGAGATCCTTCCTATCTGCATAGTTGGAGGTATTAAGTGATACAAAGTTATTCAGTATGCACATATTGTTTTGCTTAAAAAAGATTTCATTTTATGACAATGTTAAAGGGAATTAATGCTAAAAAATGTATAATTTGGAACAGTAAACCTATTTTTTAAAAAATTTAGTGTATTATGGGTTGATATTATTTTTGTCCTTTTCTATTTGTATAGCAAAATGACATTGTTTTCCTATCCTGCCAATTATAAATAGATAAATTTCACTCATTGATAATTTCAGAAGCGGCTGGTCACAATGATTCCAGGTGATGGAATTGGTCCAGAAATATCTGTTTCTGTAAAGCAGATCTTTAGTGCAGCTGGGGTAATCCTTTGATTTCTTATCTCTTGGAACTTTTTGTTCACAACATAAATTGGACTTGTGTTTCTATAATGCTTTGTTCTAGTTTGATTTGTCTGAAAAATGTACATAATTTATTACTAGATTATCATTTTAACTCATTCCTATGGCTGTTTTTTCTGTACTTAATCCATTATTCATGAACAATGGAAGTAAATCCTTTTTGCATTTGATTTATATTTGTAAAATATTTTTTAGCTGCTAAATATTATTTAATTTTAAATAAATTAGGACAAATGCACCCAGAAACGAATAAGGTTTAAGAAAAATATAACGTTGTGTTAAAAAAACCAACCCAAAAATCGCTTTGTTGGCACCTTGGATCGACACAAGCTAGATATAAGACTCGCAGTACAAAAGCACACATAGATTAAAGTGAACCATGCTCTCACCATAACTTTCTGGGACGCATGATTTAAATGCTATTTTTAAATAACAAATGAAAGAGGTATGTTAAGAAGCGCTGAGACCCATTCAGACACATGTCCAACCCATTTTAGACCAATTAGTTGCAACCACAAGGAATGAGTAAATGAAAGTATCTCTGGTCAGTCCAAATGAAAATTTCATCCCTCTCAGGTTCCAATTGAATGGGAAGATGTAGATGTAACGCCAGTCAAAGGTCCAGATGGGAAGTTCAGATTGCCACCAAAAATATTTGAATCTATGAACAAGACCAAAGTAGGACTTAAAGGACCATTAGCTACACCAATAGGGAAAGGACATCAGTCTCTCAATCTTGCACTTAGAAAGTATGTAAAAATTCATAAAAAATAATTCTTGTGTTAGATACTATTTAAAAAAAAAAGAATCTTTTGATCCTTAAAATATTAATGGTAAATCTATATTAAATAATGAATAGAATTCAATTACAATATTGCACGTTAGTTTACAACATTTCTTATGATTAAAAAAATAAATTATTTATCCTAAAAATTCCAAATTTCAAGGAAAGTGAATAAATTTGTAAATATTTTACCGTAAAAAATAGTGTGTTAAATAGAAAATGTTAAGTAGACTGTATTATAGAGTTGAACACACAGATATATTAAATAGGATGTTAACAGAGCATTGATAAGGAAATGCAATGTTCTTCTCTTGGAGTATCAGTAGTTAAGCTTTGAGCCACTGTTGCTGTATGGACAAGACTTGTAAGAGATATAAATATAAAAATTGAATGACTGGCCGCCTTACATGGAAATGTTTTCTTATTTTATTTTGTAGAGCTTTCACCCTTTTTGCCAATGTCAGGCCTTGTAAGTCAATTGAAGGATTTGAAACTCCATACAAAAATGTTGATATTGTAACTATCAGAGAAAACACTGAGGGAGAGTACAGTGGCATAGAACATGTTGTGAGTTGTTTTTACTCAAGTTTTTCTTCATTCTTAAATTCATGGTAGTAAAATACAATTAAAGCTAGATGAAAATGAGGCAGCAGAAAATTTTAATGTTTCTAAACTAATTTTAAAGCCATTTATTTCATTCATGAATGTTTCACATCCACAAAAAATGTTATCACTTTGTTATCATGATTCTAGATTGTTGAAGGTGTTGTTCAAAGCATAAAGCTCATCACAGAAACTGCATCTCGAAGAGTAGCTGAATATGCTTTTAAATATGCAAGAGAAAACAAAAGATCAACAGTAACTGCTGTTCATAAAGCTAACATAATGTAAGTGTAAAAAACTACCAATGCTAAAAAATATTTTTTTTGTATTAATTTAAAATATAAAAAAAAAAATTTAGTGTTTATTAATCTTTAAATTATTGATATTCATCTTTAAATTATTGATATTAATCGCACAAGCTGGGGAGGCAGACTTACTGTTGGAGCACACAAGATGGCGAGGCAGACCTACTCTTGCAGCACAATCCTCAGAGGGTAAATGCACCGCTCACTCCTAAAGAAAGAACACAGTACGGAAAAGCAGAATCAACTTCCGACCCAACTAGAACCCAAAACAGCGTGTGCTATGTGCAGAAAAGCTTTTCAAACACAAAGGAATGACTGGCAAACCACCTGCCTACTCACTGTTGAATATAGCCTCTGTCATATTTGCACGCAAAAGACTAACAGCAAGCAAAACAACATCTTATTGAAGCAAACAGAATGCCTTTTTTTTATGACATCATTTTGATATCTTTGAGAAAACTGTTTTTTGTTTAGCTTTTAATGTTTTTACTTTATTTCTTTTATTCAGGCGAATGTCAGATGGCTTGTTTTTAAAGTGCTGCAGAGAAGTTGCTGCCAAAAATAAAGATATTAAGTTCACTGAAATGTACCTTGACACAGTTTGTTTGAATGTAAGCAGTGACACTATCTTGGTTTATATCAATGGTTCCTTGTTTTAAATTAAACTTACAATTAAAACTCTCATTTTATTTTAATTTCATAGTATTGTTTTATAATTTATATATAGTGTGGCAAATTTTACTTTTATTTCACAAGTGTTGCTATTTTGGAAATAACTTGGTCTAGGAATGATTATTCAATAATGATACATTTCACAATAGACAGAAGTCAAATTTAAAAAACACTGGACACAATGTTCCCATGTTATGAGCGAAGTTTTGTTACGCACTGTGTTTAGTAAAGATGTTTATTTTTGTGCACCAATAAGAACGTAACATTAATTTCTCATGACCAAACCTAGCGCAGGGCAGAATCATGAATTTTTTTTATTTGTATAACTCGTGTAAAGAAAAGTGCAAAGTGGATCTACAGATTCAGGCATTTATTTACATGACCTGAAATGCGTTTCTTCCACCCTTCTCACTCTCGGGAACACATCTATCAAAAAAATTTCACAAATCCTTCATAATTCTTTCATCTCACCACTTATGACACTAGATCTAATTACTACATTAAGGCTACTGAACTTTTGATAATTTTAATCTCTATTATGATTACAATGATATAATTAAACTTCATCAAATTCTCTAAAAGTTTATTGGGATATATTTTAAATAAAAAAATTAAAAAGTTCCTTTTGAAATTAATCAAGGAATAAATTATTTTAGAATGTACTAAGTTGAAATGAAAAAAAATTGTTAAACTCACAGTCCTTTTTGCTTCTATTATTTTTGTTGTTTTAAGGATCATTACAAACCACTATTAGAGGAGATAATAATGTTTTACCACTATAGGTTGTGATGCATACATTAACATTCATTTATTTAAATCCTTTTTTTTTTCTGTAACAGCTTGTGCAAGATCCATTATCCTTTGATGTTCTAGTCATGCCTAATTTGTATGGAGATATTTTAAGGTAAATTAAAATTATACTTGGTTTTGACTGTCCTTATTTTTATTTTTTTTATGAGCTTGGTTTTGTAGATTTTGAAAATTTAGATGAAGTTAATACAGAAATTGCTTATATGTAAAACAAATTTATACATATCCTTATCATTTCCAGTGATTTGTGTGCTGGCTTAATTGGGGGCCTTGGAGTGACACCCAGTGGTAACATTGGAGAAGAAGGAGCAATTTTTGAATCGGTGAGTTTATGGGCGTGTTTAAAAAAAATATATTTTTTTTGCTATAAGGGCAATGTTAATATCTTTACAAAGATTTTTTTAAAGTGCTTGTTACTATTTTCCTAGAAGTGAATTCTAAATAATGACATGCTGTCATACTTGAGATAGGATGATATTACAATACAATTCAGTCTTTCTGAAAGACCTTGACCATCATAGACATTAATATATCTATCTGTAGACATTGTGCTATTTTCAATCTCACTATCTTCACATACCCCTTACACTAATTCATAGCATCACAGCTACGAAAGAGCAACTTTGGTAATGATCTTTTTGTAAAATCTCTAGAATAGAATGATTTAATGATTGCATAGTTAAATCATGTCTATTTAATAAATATCAATCTATCTAATACATAAAGGTAATTTTATTTCAAATCTATTAATGTTTATGAAAACTTTTTAATAACTCATGTATGTCTGGTGTAATTAGTTACATTTTGCAGCATAAAAACCAAAAGTTCATCATGTCATAGTATTGTGCGCAATTTGGTGAAATGTAACAGGAATAACATAACATAGAATTTTAGTGTCATCATAAGTTTTAAAAAAATATTTCATACAAGCAACACATTTTTTTTAAAAGACCCCCTTTTAATAAGCAAACCACCACAAAATAAATACTTAAGAGTGAGACTATAAGAGGGATGAAAAATAATGAATGGAAATTAATTGAAAGCACCAGTATAAAATAATAATACCAATTATGAAAGTATACAAGATTGCTGTTTCTTTAGCAATTTTATTACTGAGATTATATAATTCACTTAAATCAAGATCACTCAGGATAAAATACTTAAATCATTTTTATGGGTTTGAAATTTTTGAACCCCTTTTTGAAAAAACACTTTACATTTAAATGATAACCAAAATAACCTTTACATTCCTTTACATTCATGTTGTTAAGGGGGGTGTCCATTAATTATGTCAACAAAATAGGGGGGAGGGGGGTTTGGAGATGTTTGACAATGGTGAACGGGCGGGGTGGGGGGGAGGTTTATATTAGTTGATGTCAACAATCATGTTTTCTCTATTAAAATTTTAATCTTAAAAATTGACTGGTTATAACATTATGTTATAAATTTAATGAATGTAAATAGTCGTATAATTTTTAGGCTTTTAACAATATTAGATTTATTTAATGTGTGTCTCTCTGTGCACTGCAGATGGCTGGTCAGAATGTTAGCATACTTTGTAAGTGCAAGAGAAGTCAAAAGTTGGCCTCTCTTCACCTATAGATGCTGTTTGTAGTAAATGACTAGGATGGTATGTTTGCGATCGAATTGCAGGTATGGAACAAGGACAAAGTTCAAGTGTCATGGGCAGTCAAGATAAATGATATTGATAGAGTAGGAATAAAATTTTTTGAGAATTAGGGGCAAATAAAGTGAGTAACAATAATAACATCGCTGCTTGAACGGATATGCAAAATCTGTAACATCTATTTTGCATTATAAGTCATGTTGAACAGCACCGACAATGCATAAGAAATTGCCACCTGCTCCTCAACTAAAAAGAATTGGACCAATGCAAGTAGCTGCCAGGAGCCTGAGGGAGAAAGCTTATGACAATTATTGCTCACACTGACAATGGCTCTATTTTAAGTGCTGAATGGTTAGATGAGGATGATGTTAACTTGTCTGGTATATCAGTTGTGCATGATGAAAAAGATAAATCAGCTACCATAGACTATGCCCATGACGGGCCTCATTTCACGTTTTATTGGGATGGGGGGGGGGCGCAAAACTTGGTCGGCTTGTTGTTTACTACTGGAGGCACCACATTACATAGCAATTTAAATAAAACCTGCAAATTCAGTGGGCCCCTGCCCTACATAAATGACGTCCATGATGTTAGGATAGAGCAACACCTGGCTACTCCATAGGAAGCTGAAAGCAGCTAGAACCTATACTATAATTGTCAACTATACTGACAATAATCATATCTATACTTCCACAAACAATATTTAGCCTTCAACAACTTTTTAATTGATTCTGCATTATAAAATATGTGTAAAAACTTTTTTACTAGTTTTACTTGTATATTTTTTTTTTTGGGGGGGGGTCGATTATAATATATGGACATATTTAAATTTAGGGGGGGGGGTCATTGAAAGCTTGACAGTTGTTGTGGGGGGTCGGGGGGGGTGGTAAAAAAATTGCATAAAAATTGTTGACCTAATTAATGGATGCCCCCTAAGTGGAACAAAAAATCTGATTTTTTCCTTCTATAACCATTTACAAACTATGTCCAGTTGTTATGGTTGGTTCATGAGATCTAATTACTAGCTATGTATGTAATACTTTTAAACAGACAATTTAAAATTTTAGCATATTATATAGTTTTAAAGGAATTAAAAATGTTATTATATTATCAAGTTTTAAAGGAATTTAAAATGTTAGTATATTATAAAGTTTTAAAGGAATTTTAAATTTTAGTATATTATATAAACTTTTAAATGAATGATGTCAAAAACATTTGTCGGCAAAAATTCTAGGTTACATTTATTTGCCTATTAAACTGCCTGCAAATGGTGGAACTTAGTTAAAGACCACCCAATAGAGATTAAACAAGGATCATGACAATGAGAATAAACAACAAAGAAAAAACAGTTTTGTAAAGATTTTATTTTAAACCTTGAGTTACAATATGTGTTTATTATGTCAGGTTCATGGTACTGCACCAGACATAGCAGGAAAGAACAAAGCTAACCCAACTGCTCTGCTTCTAAGTTCTGTGATGATGTTGAGGTACATGGACCTCCCAACCTATGCTGATCGCATTGAAAAAGCTTGTTTTGATGTGATCAAGGAAGGAAAGGTATAGATGTAGTGATGCATACTAAAATTATTGTAAAATTTGTTTGAAAGAGGCATTAGTTTTAATAAATGCTAATGTTATTCACAGATGCAAGTGATGCACACATATGAAAATTAAATTTAGCTATACTGCCATCTTGTGGATATTTTATGTTCTTATAGACTAAAACTGCTATTCAAATTCTATGATAATATTAAGACTAATATCTTTTATTCACAAATTCTGCAATAATTATCCCGAAATCCTGACAGACCATAAATAGCGTACATATAGCTCTAACGCTGTACAAATATCGTCATAATTATCAGCATACTATTGCATTGTGACTTTGCTAGATAGTAGTCAATAGACTTAGTAGATGTAACAGTAATACTAATTCCAACGTTAACCTTTGAGGCCATTATAAATTATCGAGGAAAAGAGGGGCGGGGTGGTCATGGATTTTTTACAAAGTATGACTTAAATGGACTTAGGTGTAGTATCTATTTTCTGACTAGTTTTGGAGCGGCAAGCATGGTAAAAAGAAAATACTAAATATTGTGAAGTCCTTAGTTTGTTAGTACGCCAGGAGTACTTACAATTTTATTTTCTGCGCCCTAGCAAAGTTAGGTTTTCACCATCGAGTCAAATTCTAACAGATAAGACCTTTTAAAGAGCAATTATAATTTTTTAAAATCAAAAGGTTGGGTAATTACTCGAGTGAGTTACTGTTTTTCACCAGGCTTGCTAGATGGCACAAGTGGAAATAAAATTATGAAAATAATTCTGAGTAAGCTGCGATTCCCCAGGTTGATGTCGTACCCAGAGCAAGGTGGCTCCACTGGGCGATACAGCACACATTTTGGGTACCACTGGGCTATGGCAGTCTGTTTGCTTTATTGTAACATATTTGTCTATAAACAAAAACATTTTTTTTTCTTTTTAGTGGCGTGTGGGGGTTGAAAGCTAATTGTGTGCATCCTTAGGACACGCATTGATTTAACATTTTAGGTCTATATATTAACCCGAAGGACTGTCCGAGATGTTAGCTCCCCTTGGACACTCCTCACCGCCCCATACACTACTGGGTGGAGGCGAAATTTCAACTGCCTAGGAGCCTCCACAGGTCATTATCCGAGGATGATAATTATAGTTATAGCTAATACTATAAAAATTTTTATAATGTTTCATTACAGCATTTGACTGGAGATCTGAAAGGAAAAGCCACTTGCACAGAATTTACAGAGGAGATTTGCCTCAAAGTCTCTTCATCATAAAGTACCTCTCTGTGTAGATCATCTCATTTATTTATATTCATTAATTCATATTGAGTTGCATTTTTGGAATGAGAAGTCATATACTTATAGCAGGACCTTGATATTATATGATGCATTCATTACCCACTACCATAAGTATGTTAATGACAGACTTCACTTTTGTGTGTTTTGACCTAGAACCCCAACCTGACTCAATGATGGTCTTGATGTTTTGTAATAAACTAGTTGTAAGTGTTGTTTAGAAGCTTTAGTGGTTTTAGTCACTTGTACTTGTAACCAGGTGTCTTGCTTATTTATTCTTAGTTCCGTCTAATCCTATTAGAATGTTAATTTTGTTCCACGGAAACTCTTTTATTTTTCAAACAAGTTTACAAAATCTCATTTTTTCATTGTACTTAAGTCTGGAGCTGTTTTTGATGAAAACTAATTTGAATATGAAAAGGGATTATTATTTTTAGATTTTATATCAATTTACTTATATAGAAATTTCAGATGATCATGTCAGTGGCTAATCACAGATTGAACAGCTGAAGCTAATTGATGTTAGGGAAATGAGTTAATTCTGTGATATGATGGATGAGGTCTTCAAGAAAAGCTATAGTACTATAATAGCAGTCACTTAGCTAACTAGTCTCTTATATTTGATCATTTGAACAGCGGTCTGAATGTGTTCATACTTATGTATTTACCTGTGTAAATGGAGAATGATGAAAATTGATGAGTCTTTTGAACAGGATTTGAAAAATCACAAAAATTTGCTCAAAACATTGAATTTAAAAAAAAAAATGTTTTTGTACAAAAATCCAATAGTTCCCAAAACAGCCTTGTTAGTTTAGAAAAGTTAATTCTTGGATTCTAGTTATAATACAGGTTGTTATGACAAAGTTATGACTAACTTGTTTGAAGCTGTTGGCATTGGCAAGAGAAATTTATAATAAATAGTAATAATAGACCAACAATTATTCTAGCTGTTGTCTAAACTAGTTTTTTAAAGTTGATACAAGCCCAGGGTAATCCTTTTGTTTCTCCCCTGATCCCATTTTGGAACATGGTTCTCAATGATGCCAAAGCTGATAGTAAACTTCGTTCTTAAAGATGTCCAAATTGGTACCGGGTATTAAACTTGGTTCTTAATGATGTCAAATTTGGTAGTAAACTTGGTTCTTAAACGATATCAAAGTTGATTACAAATCATAATATAAATCACACTGGACATTTGATGTCATTATATGTAAACTTGGCCACGGTCTGACTAATAACTTTTTACTTTTAATATCTTGTACACATGAAACCATTAAATTAAATACAACAGTCTTAAAATTCTTGATTGTACTTGTTGCTAAGTTAAAAATTAGTTACCCATACTATAATTGATTGATTCACAGATGACATCTCATTACACTGAAGATGTTATCTTGTGTCCTTTTGGCTACTTGCTAACAGCTTCAGATCTTCTTTTATAAATGGAAAGTCAAGAATACAACTGTTACTACCAGCCCTACTTATATTTATTACAAGAATACAAGTGTTACTACCAGCCCTACTAATATTTATTACAAGAATACAAGTGTTACTACCAGCCCTACTAATATTTATTACAAGAATACAAGTGTTACTACCAGCCCTACTAATATTTATTACAAGAATACAAGTGTTACTACCAGCCGTACTTATATTTATTACAAGAATACAAGTGTTACTACCAGCCCTACTAATATTTATTACAAGAATACAAGTCAGTGTTACTACCAGCCCTACTTATATTTATTACAAGAATACAAGTCAGTGTTACTACCAGCCCTACTTATATTTATTACAAGAATACAAGTGTTTCTACCAGCCCTACTTATATTTATTACTGAAGCTGAACTAGCGATTCATGTAACTTAGTCGCTTTATCCCAAGAAGGGGAAACAATCCTTTAAAAAGTTTGAGATCCTCAGACAAACTGCCCGTGGCATCACCAGGCAATCCTTCACCTGCCACGCCCCTGACCAGCAGGATGCAACCTGGCAGCAGACACAAAAATGGGTTGAAAAGTTGGAGAAACTTGACCAGATTTGGGATGTGTTGAAACATCGTGTGGGACAGGTTATGTCTGAGGCTTGAAGAAAGACATGGACAAGTTACATTGAAGAAAATTTTGATTACCCTGGTAAACTTATGATGACGTTGGCATGACGACCAATGTATTGTAATCAATGCAGGGAACTCTCCTTTTATAGATCAGCCTTTAGTGTAAAGGGACAAGGTTTTTCAAATTATAAATCATGACAATAATAATAGTTTTATTCATGGATGTCCAAAACTAAACAATAGCTTGTGGTTACATGGGTAATTTCTCTGTGATGTGTCCAAAACTAAACAATAGCTTCTGGATACATGGATAATTTATCTATGAGGTGTCCAAAACTAAACAATAGCTTCTGGATACATGGATAATTTATCTATGAGGTGTCCAAAACTAAACAATAGCTTCTGGATACATGGATAATTTCTTTATGAGTTGTCCAAAACTAAACAATAGCTAGTGGAAACATGGATAATTTCTCTGTGAGGTGTCTAAAACTAAACAATAGCTTGTGGATACATGGATAATTTCTCAATGTGACGAGTCCAAAACTAAATTCTCTATGAGGTGCTCTAATCTAAACAATTGTTTATGGATACACGGGGAATTTCTCTCTGTGAGTTTTCCAAAACTAAATAATTGTATGTGGATACACGGATAATAGCTCTGTCTGTGACGAGCCCGTAAGTAATTTCTCTGTGAGGTGCCCTAATCCAAACAATTGTTTGTGGATACATGGATAATTTCTCTGTCTGTGAGTTGTTCATTTTGAACAAAATATCGGATGCTCATTTGAATGAGTTATATATTTTCTTAGTCGTTTTATTATATATGGGTGTCTGGACATTAAATGTACGGCACTTGTTCTTTTGTTTAATTATTTTTTTTACATTTTGAAGCTTTTAACTGGACTACAACTTGGCCACATTCACGACACACTAGGAAAAATGTCCGAAAAGCACTGTTAGACTGGCCACAACTCACGACTATCTAAAATAAATGTCCACTAACGACTACTGGAATGGTAACAGCAGGAATTGACACCTTGCTTTAAGCCTCATGAGCCATAGTACACAAATATACTTTTCTGCTACTCTTTGTATGGGTAGACGACTCAATCAATGACTGAGTACTGGTACAGGAATTCATCCTGTCAATGACTGAGTACTGGTACATGAATTCATTCTGTCAATGACTGAGTACTGGTACATGAATTCATTCTGTCAATGACTGAGTACTGGTACATGAATTCATTCTGTCAAAAGTCATTTAGTCCTCCCTCCCCTCTCTCTTTCTCTCTCCCCCTCTCTCCCCATCCGTCCCCTTTATACCCCTCTCTCCCCACCTCCCATTCCTCCCTCCCGTTCTCTCTCTCCTCTCTACCCCCTCTTTCTCTCCCCCTCCTTCCCTCTCTCATTCCCTCTCCCCTTTCTCTATATCTCCCCTACCTCCCTACCTCTCTTTTTCTCCCTCCCTCCTTTCCTTTCCTCTCATCCCCTCTCCCTCTCTCTCCTCCGTCCCTCTCTCTCCTCCCTCCCCTCTCTCTCGTGTAACCGACTCACCTACTGATTTAATCAAGCCATGTAATCTACCAGACTACCAGAACTATCTACCAGACTACCAGAACTATCTACCAGACTACCAGAACTATCTACCAGACTACCAGGACTATCTACCAGAACTATCTACCAGACTACCAGAACTATCTACCTGCCTACCAGGACTATCTACCAGACTACCAGAACTATCTACCAGACTACCAGGACTATCTACCAGACTACCAGAACTATCTACCAGACTACCAGAACTATCTACCAGACTACCAGGACTATTTACCCGACTACCAGAACTATCTACCAGAGTACCAGAACTATCTACCAGACTACCAGAACTATCTACCAGACTACCAGAACTATCTACCAGACTACCAGGACTATCTACCAGACTACCAGAACTATCTACCAGACTACCAGAACTATCTACCAGACTACCAGGACTATTTACCCGACTACCAGGACTATCTACCTGACTACCAGAACTATCTACCAGAGTACCAGAACTATCTACCAGACTACCAGGACTATCTACCAGACTAGCAGAACTATCTACCTGCCTACCAGAACTATCTACCTGCCTACCAGGACTATCTACCAGACTACCAGAACTATCTACCAGACTACCAGGACTATCTACCAGACTACCAGAACTATCTACCAGACTACCAGAACTATCTACCAGACTACCAGGACTATTTACCCGACTACCAGAACTATCTACCAGAGTACCAGAACTATCTACCAGACTACCAGAACTATCTACCAGACTACCAGAACTATCTACCAGACTACCAGGACTATCTACCAGACTACCAGAACTATCTACCAGACTACCAGAACTATCTACCAGACTACCAGGACTATTTACCCGACTACCAGGACTATCTACCTGACTACCAGGACTATCTACCAGACTACCAGGACTCCATGTACAGATTAACACCAACTTGTACGGATCACCACCATTTACTACTTATCACTGACCATCACTACTGTCGCATACAGTGTAACTGCAGCAGGGCGTCTATTCGCGCACTAAGACAAAGTCCACTTACGACCAGGAATGTTTCTTACAAACGAATTTTTTTAGTTAACTGGAAACTCCCATTGAAAGATTTGCGCTAACGACGTGCATAGAATAGAATACAAATGCAATTTATTCGTACCTGTCTTAAATTATTTTCATATAAATATTGGGCTTTATTCCACAGTGGATTCATCGTACCAGACGATGTATTGTCACATGGGCCAGCTTTCCAGATAAAAACGCTAGGTAATTCCAAATTAGAGCAGATATTTGTTTTAACACTCCCAACACATTGTGCCAGGGCACGGGATTTTCCAATCGCCTTCATTGAATTTCCTGTCGGTTGTCATTGCAGATACTCCGCAGAAGGCCGAGCCATTTAGGGACTAGCAGGGCAAGATACACTCTCTCACTCTCTCTCTGTCTTTTTGTTGTATTACTTGAGAAAATTAAGATGGGTTATTTCCATGTAAACATTTTAAATATTTGAAAGAAAAGTGGCCGTCCTTAAAATAACGTAATCAGGGGCGAAGGAAGGGGGCGCATAGAGGGCTGTCCGTCACGGGAGGCACCTTTTTCTTTATACGGAGGGACGGCATTTTCTCCCAACTGCAGCGTATTTTTTTGTTGGCCCGCCCCCCGAGGCGTAGCGACGGTGGGGGGGGGGTGCAGAGGGGGGCAGATGTTCCCGGGCGCCAGCTAGCTGGGGCGCCAAAATGTGCTTTGATATTATATTATTGGTAAAAATAATGGGTTTGAGAGTTGAAAAAAATAAAAGGGGGCGCTTTAAAATTAATCTTGTCCCCGGGCGCGAATCTTGTCCCCGGGCGCCAAACACCCTCGCTATGCCTCTGCCACCCGTGCGGCAATAACCCTAGCTACGCCACTGAATGTAATTAACAGATGTCACATGGTGTCTTCTAGCCAACGAACAGTGGTCACTGGAAGTGGCGTAGGTAGGATTAATCGTAATAATGCTGAGAAGTTTGTGTTGGAAGAGACGTATGCTAGGAAAATGAACAAAAAATATAAAAAAAATAGTGTAATAACAACTCAGCCAGACCAGGAACGTTGTCTATACACCGGTGTTCACCAAATGGGTGATCCGGGGACCGGCGCAGGTCCGCGAGCCTTATGACGTTGCCGGGCCGCACAACATTAGTCGATAAACTGGTGAAAAAATATGATCACCATTGCCTGACAAAGGATTGAAGATTGCTTTCACCACCATGACATCACTGGCATCTTTTAGGATTTATGCCAAGCGGAATATGACGAACTTGTTGAAAAAGACATGAAAGGTCTTCTCCCAAAATGTGTTTTACAACTTACTTTTGCAAAAAATGGCTTTACGTTGATGGAAATGATTAAGACAAAGGACAGGAACAGAATGGTTGTTCCTTATACTTTGCCGGTAGCACTGTCTACACTGTAGCCACCATTTGATTTGCTGGAAGAAAAGCATCCCCGGATTTCTCATGAATTAGTCACTGTTAGTCACTGTTAGTCACTGTTAGTCACTGTTAGTCACTGCTAGTCACTGCTAGTCACTGCTAGTCACTGCTAGTCACTGTTAGTCACTGCTAGTCACTGTTAGTCACTGTTAGTCACTGTTAGTCACTGTTAGTCACTGTTAGTCACTTTTAGTCACTTTTAGTCAC